TTGGCCCCTTTTCTGTTTCTGAACAGATCAACCCAGTTGCATATCGGTTACATCTACCGGAGTCAATGAAGATCCATCCTGTATTCCACGTGTCTCTTCTTGAACCATATAAGACAGTGGATATACAAGGAAGAAGACAAATGCCACCGCCTCCTATAGAAGTAGATAATAATGAAGAATTTGAGGTGGAAGAGATATTAGACTCGAGGCGGCACCGAAATAAGCTGGAATATCTTGTTCATTGGCGCGGATATGATATTAGTGAATGCACATGGGAGCCATCCAGGAATCTAGGAAATGCATGAGCTAAAGTCAAAGTTTTTTATCAACGACATCCATCGAAACCAAGATGAAAATCTCTCTTATAAAAGAGACAAGATTGAGGCAAGATAACATTCAATTTCCTATCCTTGTTTGTAACTTCTTTGCATTTGTGACGCTAATTAGATGTAGAGCCAACAACCAGCGGATTCAACTCAAGAACCTTCGTTTGCTGACCTGTAGGACGTGACATTACGATTGTCACAACCTTCAAGACGACGCAATCGAGATGAAGATCTTCAAGAACGACATGTTCTTCCTCGAATAGATGGTGAGATATAACGCGTTTGGTATCACGATTTGGGAAGAGACTCCCGATGTTTGGTGATTTTGCTAGAGGTAGGAACAACTCCTGATGGTGTTCCAAATATTCTATTCGAAGGAAGTTACGAAGGCTTCAACAATGATCAAATAACTGGATTGTCTTTTCAACCTAGTATGGGACACTACCGATGGTTGAGAGGCCCTATCAATCATCTTCGAAGAAAACAGAGATCAGGGTATGTGGCGAATACAATTCGTCGCATCATAGATTTCCTCAACATATGATGACCGCTCCTCGTGGAACTCGTCTCTAGAAGGGGGGGTAATGTCACGGCCATAATCATGTAAGCTAATAATTACATATAGAAATAAGTAGAAGTAAGTAAAAGTAGATAAAAGTAAGTTAATTCTATAATATTTAATATAGAAGCTTCCTAGAAACTTCCTAGATGCTGCTTTGACTTCATATGTGTCTTTAATTGACTTTTTGGATTAGAAACGTGGTCAACAAGTTGGCCATGTGCCACACATGTTGTTAGCTTGAAGATCAAGCTAACTATGTGGCCCACACGTAGAAAAACTTGCTTTGTAAGTCAAGGCATGTGTGCTACAAAGTCAACACATATTGGAGGTCCTATAGAACGTCGCCACGTAGCCCCTAGTTAGATAGTATATATAGAGATAAGAGTGAAGGCTTCTTCACTCTTGTCAACTCCTTTCTTGCTTCTAGTCCAGGTTCAAGAGTCTTTAGTTTCTTGTCTTGTGGCAATAGCCATTCCAGTTTCCTTTTAATATACCTACTTGTTTATATTTTGACTTATTATATCGAGATATCCTTTTTGTGTATATTTTCCTTCATCGGGTCTTTGTCCTTGACACATAAAATATAGCTATTCCTAGTATAATACACAAAAAAAAAAAAAAAAGATAACCAATTGATATTACTTCATTGATAAATATATTTTAAGATTGATTCTATTTTATATTTGATCTGATTTAGTGGTTAAAATTACAAACTATATATAAATAAATAAATAAAAACCTCAAAAATTATCATAAAAATAAAAATTTAAGTATAAAATAATTTAAAAATTTAATTATCTAGCTAATTGGCTACACAATGATCAAAATGCAATTACAAGAAATAATTTTATCTCTTGGCTTTCGACACACTTTTTCAAAAACAATTGTGATCTAATTTTATTTCTTTTATTTTGGTAATCTTATTGAATGGTTTATTATTGTAATTTTAGAATATACTTTATTACAACACTCATGCTTTAAATTACCGAAAAAAGAAAATCAAATGTTTTTAATAATTCTTGGGCATAAGATTAAACAAAATGTTTTTAGGCTTTTGAGAGAGAATTTAAGAAGACTATGGGAAAACTGAAAAGAATTATTGATTTATTATTAATTTTTTTACTTTTTTTTCACTAAAAATTTCTTTTTATTCTTACAATGTTTATAAAATTCTTTAAAAAATATAGTAAATAAAATTTAAAATAGTAATATTCACAAGTAAAAATTAATAATAAATATGTAATTTTTTTAAAAAATAAATTCTAAATGTAGCATTTATGATTTTTTTCCATTTCATTAAAAGAAAATAAAAAAATATATTTAGAAGATAAATCTGAAAAAATAAATATAAATACATATATAATTAAATAGTTATTTAAATACAGAGGAATTGCTTTTTTAAGTATGATAAAAGTGTAGACAAAACTAAATGGAATTTTTTTTCCTTGTTGCATATATATACCAAAATATCTAAGTTCTTTGTAACTTCTATAGTATGTTACTAGATACTATTAAATATCTAAAAAATCCTATAGAATTTGTAATAGAAGTGTAAAGGAGTTCATGAAAGTTATAAAATGTTTTTTTAAGGTTCCAAGAAGGTTGAAAAGAAGTATTCTTGTTAATAGATCTTATTCTATAATGGTTATGCATATATATACATATGTATATATATATATATATATATATATATATATTTGTATTTTTTTTAATACATTTTTTAAATTATAATTTTTTATTATATTAAAATATATTTTATGAGTTTCAATAATAAATTTTATTAAACATATATACACTACCAATAATAATTAATAATAATTAATATTATTGATAATTTTATATATATCTTAGAATAAAATATTTTCTATTGGTTGTAATTCAATAATTTTTTTTAAATAAAAATAAAAATTTAATGATAAAATAAAGGAATTATACTTGAATGGTATTTTAAAATTTTTATTGATAAATTAAATTGCTACTTTAACCTCATTAGTTACTTTTGTTTTTTTTTTTAGTTCTTCTATATTTTTTTAAACATAAATATATATATATATATATATATATAAACATTAATATCATTTAAATGATATTATTTGATCTTAATACTTACAAGCATAAATGTTTTAGTACTTGTCTTTATTTAGTTCTTCCTTGAGTATAAATTTTCAATTAAAAAAAATCAAATACAATTAGATTTTGAGAAATTAATTAATTTTAAATTAATAAAAATATTTGAAATTTATCTTTAGTCTGGGAGATAGAATGTTCTTTGATTTAGTTAATTAATTAGTATATCAGCCTAAATATAAATTGATATAGTTATCATATTAATATACACTTTTTTCTTCAAATATTACTATACAAACATTTTTCACTTCTTGAATTAGTTTTATAAACATAATGGTATTATCAAAAGTATTATTTTATATGAATTATATTAACAAATTACATAATCTAAGTAGTATTATACTCAATTTTAAAAATATTAATATGGCAAGATTGTCATCTCTATAAGCAATAATTTACAGGTTTTAAATTAAATATTTTATTTTTTTGAATTATTATATAAATAAAGAGAGAAAGAATAAGAAAAAACTAGAGATAACAAGAGAGAAAGAAGAAGATGTATATGAGCTTATTTTGTTTAAATTTCAATTTATAAAAATACAAAAACTAAAAAAAATTAAATCTTATTTTTTTTCAAAGATTACTTGCTTTCTCATTGAACATTCATTGTTAATATTTTTTCTAACATATAATAAATACACACACACACACACACACATATATATATATATGTATATATATAGCAACACAAATATTTTAAGTATTCAATCAAAAAGTTATTTTCATATCAATTTTTTTATATTTACTAGACATGATGTACTTTTAAAAAAATTAGAATATATCTAATTATAATTTTTATATTGTTTTTCTTACATACATATTAATTATTATGACCATTTAAAATTTAAACAATAAAAGGTAATAATATTAATAGACTAGAAATGATCCTAATAATTACAAAAATATTTTGTATGATTGTAGTTTAAAAAAGCTTTAGAAATCAAATCTTTAACTGAGCATGACTTTTGAATCTTATTAAAATATTGCTATATCGAAGGTTATATATATATATATATATATATGTTCCATTTAATTTTAAAGATAAAACTAGCATAACAACAGTTTTGCAATATCTAGAAAAGAATAATAATATTCACTTCTAAAGTTTTAATCTTTTTATGATGTTAATTTCTTTTGAAGAATATATATATAATCAGAAGTAACTAAAATTAGAAGTGTATATTATTTCTTGCACAATGTAGCTGACATTAGTTATGACCAAATATACATATTATATTTATTCAACTTCAAAACAACTTCAGTCTATTCTTTTTTGTGTAATTATGTTATAAATATGTATACACGTATGCACACACAAAAGTTATATTTAAAATCGAAACAGTTTGTATATTAATTTAATTTAATTGGAATTTTCAGATTGTAGTTCAAAATTCAAATTAAATTTATATACATTTGAAAGCCAAAGAAAATGTAAATGAATTTAATAAGCTTAACTTGCATCAAACATATATATATATATATATATATATATATATCATAAATAAATAGTTAAATAATTTTATTGTTGAGATGTTTATGCTGTTTCCATACTTCTCTAAAAATTATAGATTCCAATATTGGAAAAAATCAATTCTGAGAAATATTTAATTATGTATTCACAATTACACAAAGCATAAAAAAATGTGATAAAATTGGAGATAAATATATAAATAAAAAATAAATTAAACGCTGATACTATACGTTTAAGAGGCACGGTGTCACGTCACACAAACCCCTGAATACTCAGTACAGTCAGTCCAGCACGAGTCGATTCGATATGATGTACACGTAGACGGATTCTGAGATCCTTGGCATGCCACGCAAGCAACGAGTCCATCGTGGGTTACACGTCACCACGGGTCCGGTGGGCACCCACGGCGGGGGTGACACGACCCCCGTCCTCGAAGCCCGTCATTGCTCACGGGGTTGTTGACTTATTCGATGGGGGCGGGCTCCTTCCCAGCAGCTTTCGTCGAGATGCCCTCAAACCAACTGCGGTGGAGGAGGAGGCCGTCGTCTCGGCGACGCCGAACCCCCGCAGCAGGGCCCGAAATTAATCTGGCCTACCCCGCGCAGCCACTTGAATCGGGCCCATTTCTCTTATCCATGTCGCCCTCCCTCAATTTGTTCACACTCTGCGTTGCGGACTGACGGTTGTCTTGCGCCATGAGCAGCAATTCCGTCGGCAGAGTTGGGTGGGTGGATCCCGCTGGAGTCACGAGCGGCGTTCGAGGGGAGCAGGAAGAGGAGGAGGGCTATGGAGGTTGAGTGTTGGAAACGGTTTGGATCGTTTCACCGGTGCGGAGAAGGGAGAGAGGTGTGGATTAGTGTGGCTGAGTTGGCCTTTTAGATGGCGGGCTCTTCCATTCCCTAAGGCAGGGTCGAGATGTTGTCAAGTCTCGGTGATGGTTGTTGTTTCGCTAGGGATGTGATGCCGGCAGCAGATTTCGGTGTTGGAACGCCTGCAGGGATGGGTTGGTTTGAGAGTTGTAGGCAGCAGAGCGGGGTGAGGGTTCAGCGGAGGTGGACGTGGAGGTGGGTTTCTCGTCGCGTGTAATTTTGATAGAATCTGTCCGTTGTGGTTGATATATTTGCTTTGGGTGGAGGCTGTTGCCTGGAGGGGATTCGTGTTATTTCGTAGAAAGCCAGTTTTGGAGGTTTTTGACAACTTCTATAGAAGAATTTGAACCAATTTGGTCGCGAGGTTGCATGGAAAGAAAGGTCGGTCCGGACGCGTTTCTACTGACCTCCCTTTGGTTCGAGCTTAATTTGGTCTGCGTTGATAGACGGGATCGAGCTCTGTTTTCCGTTGCTTCCGCCACGCTTCTTGAGGAGGTGATTTGGGCTCAAAAACGATTCGGTTGCTGTCATAGAAGTTTTACGAGGTGGAGCGCTCTGTACAATCTGAAAAACAGGCACCACGAGGGTTGCCCAACGTTTTAAAGTAAGGACTTGAAGGATCGAAGAATAGCACAACGAAGGCATTTTTCGTGGTCGGTGGTTGCTAGGTGGTGTATCATGGATTTTAGGGAATGGTGGTCCGTTATTTTGTATGATTTAGATTTTTCGTCAGTTGATATGAGGTTTAAGGTTTCTGAGTGTATGTCCTTCCACGCATAGTTGTATGCCACTGTAGTTAATTTTTATTCAATAGTACTGATCGGAGTTGTAGGATTTTGTAATGGCGTTCATATCGACCAAAATAGCAATTGGGATCGGGGTAGGAATAGTTTCACTTCTAGCTCTATGCTACTTCGTCTATTGGGGTGTACGAAAGTTTCGGCACCGCACGAGGAGCACCGGCCAAATTTCTGCGACCCCTGAGGAAATTCCTGTGAGTGGTTTCTCTTTCTTTTTATGTTCTCTCACGCGTAGGTCCCAAGTTTTTCGCGACCTTCTTAATCAACCATGCTGTTCTTTGAGTACGCCCACTTTTGAAGTTACCTGATCACAAAAGGAAGAAAATTTACTTCTGCTACTTGCAGTGTGCTGTTGCATCCAAAAGCGTATTACCCTTATATTGACATTTACCTTGCAAACGATTTGTTGATGGTTGCGCATCGTGTTTTACTGTAGAGTGGGACTCGAAATGGGTTGAAGAAAGAAATGGTGATTGCATTACCAATCGTGAAAGCCAGTGATGTGAATGTTGACGAGGGATTAAAATCACAGTAAGTATCGACGTTCCATGTCTCCTTTTCAAGCTCAATGCTACACATGTAAGAGATGCATCGAGCTGGATTAATTAAGAGTGGCTAATCTTCAGATCAGTTAGGGATGATCCGGGAGCTGTTTTAATCCTCCGTTTCAGTAAATTTGACTTCATCATTTAAAGTTTGGATTGCAGATGCTCGATATGCTGGCAGGACTTCCGAAACGAAGCTACTATGCGACAGCTACCCCATTGTAAACATGTCTTCCACAGGCATTGTATCGATCCTGTGCTTGACGAACAGATCACTTGCCCTGCTTGCGGCGTTATCCTGACTGGCAGTTTCGGCACATCCAAGAGATTCAGTGAAAGGAACCCCAGCTATCAGCGGGATTCCTCTCGGAGCATGTGCTCGAATGACCCTTCGGCGTCTTCCACCCCCAAATCGCCTGCGATGCCGCCCTATTGGGTTCACATCAATAGACCAGTGCCCCTCCCGCAGACTGCTGTAGTAACCAGCCGCTCCAGCTCTTCGGAACGATTTGAAATTGACCTGAACGCTTCAGGCCAGTCTCCGCTGTTGAAGTACATGACCGGGAGCCACGTTGAAGATATAGATTTGGAGCAATGCATCGACATTAGCTTCACCTTCGACACCGACATTCCAGTCGAGAGAAGACCGCCTTCAACAAACGAAAGAAGCGTAGATTCCTTCTCCTTTGGAGTCCCAAGCGCAGACACTTTCACTTTCCCAGGACCCAGCGGTGCAGGGCAGGATTCCTGGGATGCTGCACCGGCAATACCTTTCAAGCCACCGTGCAGCAGCAGAGAATCGACAACGACTGATGCTTGCGACACTAATTCAGGTAAAACATACTCACAAAGCACCTCGAGGAGGTCTCGCTTGTCGAATTCATTCTCCGCCAGTTGTAGCTTCAATCGGCTAGGCACCGAAGACAGACACGCACATTCGGAACTGCAGGATGAGCACGTTCATTTTGCGGCGGATCATCAAACTTCGACGGGGCCGCAGGATCAATGCTCGTTGGATGCCTCTGGGAATCTCACCTTGTCTTTTTCTTCTTCCGAAGCTTCGAAGAAGCCAAGCAGGGTTGTTTCAAACTGCAACACCTATTCTCTGCAGGTAGAAAGCAGCCAAAGCACCAGGTGGGAGCGGCTGTAGGTGTGGAACTCACTTGTAATCTATGGAGCAGCATCGACACAGTTCTGATTGCACACTATCAACTGATCTGCTTCACTAGCTTAAACGGATTCGTTTGACAGTGCCCAATTGTGCTGAACGCTCAAATTGTAATATGAAGCATTCCAACGGTGTATGTGTGTGTGTGTTTTTTTTTCTTCAGTTTCTGTTCCTGTGTAGTGAACTCAGGTTGTTTTATTGCACCGGTCGGCGTGTAATGCGCCGCAGTTCATTGCTGGAACTGGCTTTATCACAACCCACCGACAGCGTCATGTTGCAAGTCCTGGGGGGTTTGGCCTTGTGTTCTAAACTGTAACATAGCCGCATGTGAACACAAACCTTGATTCCTGAGGCTATTATTTTGGTGTCACCATAAACTGATTTTGTCATCTATTTAGTATCTATTTATGGTATGGTTATCGTCACCACAATTTTTATTACTGTCACCACATCCCTCACCTCACCATGTGTCATTTTGTTCATTATCTTTGAAATCATTTGATTGAATCTTATTTATTTATTTATTTATTTATTTATTGGAATAGGATAAACTAAGAAAAAACATATTTAGGGTATGGTGGGTTGCTGTGCCAATAACAAAAACAATGATGACATAAGCAACATCCTGTATTTATGTGTAGTTCAAGACTTGTTTGTAGTAGTAGAGACAACAAAGCAAGCTTTGCATCAACTCCAGTCACTAACCTTTACCATGCTTAACTCTTGTCAAATAGGCCACATGATGTAGGATAAAACTAATTGATTCATCTAATGTTGGCAATGTTTTGTCTTTTCTTTTTTTAGAAATACAACATCACGGAGTATTAAAGTTTTACAACTAGGTTTCAAATTCTCAAACTTTGTAGTTACTTTCTATTATTTTATTATTTTTTTGTAATGCTTAATATATATATATATATATATATATATATGTTTTCTCTCTGTAATATCTACTTCTCACAAGATAATACAAGGTTTAAAGTTTTGAAAAAAAATTAAAATGTTTTTCATTCTTATTTTATTTTATATAATACATTATGAATCTTATTTTAAATTCAAAAAATTTATTCATTGTCTTAACTTTTTCTATTATAACAATAGTTACAATGTACATGTGTGCTTTTCATTTACAATGTAACTTTTCAAATTTCAATACTGTAATAAATCTTTCTTATCCTTCCCATACACTTCATTGTGATTATTGATATTGTCACCGTTGTCAATTTAGTTTCATAAAAAAATAAAAAAATACTCTTTTTATTTTATTTCATACATCATTTCGTTACAAAATTATTAGTTAGATTTTATTTACATCCATCAAAATTTCATTCTTATGTCTTCTCAAACAGCTTAATAAAACAATTATAATAACACTTAAAATTATGTTTTCATATGAATAAAAGTAGAATACACATTAGAAAGAAATCTTGCAGAAAACACATATAATTCAGTCTACTTCTAGTTGATTAGGCATCTTAAATTTTTCAGTAATGAAAAAATCCAAAAGCCACCAATTCAAATGCTATAAAATATGAATGTTTTACAACATTGCTCTAATATTGGTTAATATTTAGACACACAAAAATACATGTTTATGTGTAAATTTTGAGATTCCAATAAAAAGTTATTCTTTAATATATATACATATGTAAATAAACAAGAAAATTATATCTCGTATAGAATTCACATATATGAGGCTTACTATAATTATAGCAGTCTTTGAACATGATTCTCCAACGTATCTTCCTCCTCTAACAACCTCTAGTATTTACAAACAATTGTTGGAATAATCAATCAAACACTACACCCTCTAGAATAATAGTTTCCTACTAACCAAAAGTTCATGTATACGACAAAGCCATCAAAAAAGAATAGGGATTTTTCACAAAAGTGTGAGATTCTTATTATGTACACTTCAAAAAGAAAAAGGACATTGGGTCTAAACTAACAAACTACCCAGTTATAACAATACTATGGTTTTAGAAATAACAAAAGTAAGATCCACAATTAATTTATTATATGTGGTACCAAATTAACTAATTGTAACATCTTTAACACAAAATCAGCATCAGATAAAATTATTGCTGTAATATAAAAAAATCGAAATGAAAAATATAAAATTTCAACATATGATATAAATATCTATTGCTTTTATATATAAACATTTAAATATATCTTAGAACATAAATCATATCATTAAAAAATATAATCATTTAAAAATATCTAATTGTGAACATTTTATTTTTATTTTTTTATTCGCATTTTTTTGTTTGATTTAATTTATAGCACCACAATTGAATTGGTTTAGTCATGTGGAACACTTAGTGCTTAATATTTTTTGATCTTACCAAAACAATTTATCATACATGTTGGCTATCAAAGTAAAATTTCGTACATTAGATCACATGAATGAAGGATAAACCTCTTAATTTGAAATAATAATAGTAAAAAGAACATGTTTTAATAAAATGTTTTCATACTCTCATACTAATTATATTACATATGATGAGACTACTCTCACACTAATTATCTTTTACCGAATGAAAAAATATCATCACACCTAGCTTAACAAGATGTAAATTTCTTATTAATAAATATAAAACAACTTCAGAGATTATTTTCTTTTATGAAAATATACATTTTCCTCAAATTTTATTTAATATTTCATATATTAAATTTTAGTATCTTTCATATACAAAATATCAAAAAATATTGAAGAATTTTTATGAGATTAATTAATTTATAGTTTATTTTAAATTCCTGTTACATGAATTCCAAAAACTCACTTATAAATATATATATTTATGAATATGTATGTATGTATATATATATATATATATATATATATATACATATATATCTTGTATTTGTAGTATTAAAATTCCATATCTTCTTGTATGATAAATTTTACATATAGAATTTATTTCTTTTTATTATATGTATACAGTAATTTTTTAACGCAGTCCTCTAGATTTCCTAAAATCATGAACTTCCATCATTCAGTCATATTAAAATTTATTGTTGTTTTATTCCAACTACCATAGAATTTCAATGATTTGTGTATTTATCTGGTGCTTTCAAAAAAGTATCTAATATTATATTTTATTATGGTAAGTTAATTGAAATAGATTTATAGTTAGGGTGTTTTTTTTTTTTTTTTTTTTTTTTTTTACCATTAATAATAATGTAAATTATATAAGTGTGATTAGCCATGTATTTGTAAGAGCTACATACTTAAGAGATATGTTTTCTTTTATGGTATCAATTTAACATTAATGTATAAATTGTCGTTTAAACATTAATATTATTTATATACATATATGTATATACACACACATATTCAAGAATACATACTAATTTAGAATGCAAACAAATAAAAAGTTATACATGTGTTCAACAAAAAAATTGATTTTGATTTTTTTTTTGTGGTAAATTTTGGTTTAAAAAAAATAGAAAAGTAGGTCCTAGTACCTAACTCCTAAGCAACCCATAAACATATTGAATTTTATTGTTTGTGCCATTGGAGTACATACAAAAGTTGTTGGTAGCACAACACACATACAAATATTTGACAAACAATGCCAAGAATATTTGGTGGCTTATAAAAAAATTACAAATATGCATAAGTTAAGACATAATCAGTAGAACAATGAAAGCCTATAACCCTGAAGAAACAATTTGATTATTGAGATATTCTACAGACCTCAATAATATAGAAAAATATCAAGTAAATTGCATAAATATCATGGAAAAGACAATCTATTCGGAGAAATAGAGCACAATTCCATGCAACTTCAAGTCCAATAGAATCATAACATCAACATGTCTTGTTAGATGTATGAATCCACTTACATGTCACACAAAAAACATCCAATTTTCTAAACTCAAAACTTTAATTTCCATTTTTGTTTTGTACAAAAATTTCTACTTTTCTAAACTTTCTGTACCAACATATCATTCTGTAGTCCAAAAAACTAGAAATCCCCAAACCCTAAAATCGAAAATAGTATCATTTGGTAAGAAAACATCCAACTTGAATTGTAAAACTACTAGATTTATCACAAAATCTAGATTTAAAGCAAAGTACTACGCCCGGATAAGGAAAGGCAATCAATGTATGATTAAAAAGACCTAGATGGATAGATGAAAATAAACATTTTATTCATCCATCCCCTCAACCTAAACAACGAACGAAGTACCCTCGACGGACGAAGGCGAAAACGAAGATGTTTGCGTCGGACGAGGGTCCAAATTTGGACGAACGTCGGAGTGGGGACGTTCGTTCGTTGTCTTCCTCGTGGCGTTGTTGCCCTGCCCAGCCCAGCCCTGCTCGGGAAAGCCCTCTTCTCGCTTGTGTCGATGCCGTTATTTTTGCGGCGATTGCTCTCATTTCGTCTCTGCCCTTGTTTCTTCTGAATCCCCTTGCAGGTCAGGATCCAGAGAGGCTTGTTCGCTTCACATCCAGCTCTTCTTTTTGTGGGTAATCACCATGTCGACCGTCATGCAGAAAATCAAGGATATCGAAGATGAGGTTAGTTGCACTCACCGCGTCTCGCCTCAGGGGTTGCATTCTCTACTGCCCATTATCAGGAATTGATGATGCTTTTCGAACAAGAGGATGCGTGGGTTTGTGCCGGAGGATCGAGATACATGTATTGGTTAATTGATGTGGCTACAGTGGTGATGAAGAACCTTTGTGAGCGCTGGTTAGGTTTTTTTAGTTTGTTGTATGAGTGTTGTGTTTTTGGCACTTGGTAATGAATCCCAACAACAAGTTTTGAAATTTCTCATTTTGATTTACACTTGAACTGGTGCATTTAAACAAATGCGCAAATTTTGCTCCGACTATCGTCCTTATGGCAAACCATAATTTTTAATGATTTGGATTAGAGCCTATAACTATAGTTGTATTCTTATGTAGAAACTGCGAGAGGCCTTTTTGAGGGTTTTAGGGTTAGGTTAGGAGAGGAGAAATACTAATCTTAGTTTTGAGTATGAAAGAGATGGAGGATTATTCCGAAGTTGCAATTAATTATGTTTTGGTTGCAGATGGCAAGGACTCAAAAGAACAAAGCAACTGCTCACCATTTGGGTCTCCTTAAGGTCAGTTGACAACTGACAGCCTGCGGGGTTTAGCTATGAATATGCACACTTGGCATCAATGTATTTGTTAGATTTTTGGAGACCGAGTACTATTTCTTTGGAAGCATCTCAAGTTGAGCTCATGAGTTAGGATCTTTACAACCTATGAGCTTGAGAAAGTAATTCTCTACACCAACAAACAGTTAGCTTAGAACCAGTCAGAAGCAGTTCAAAGAGTTTTGGTATTACATCAAAGCTCGGATGTAATCCTAGGCTTCAATTAATCAAGTCTGATTAAAAGGGTGACATGTTACGTATTTTGTAGGCAAAATTGGCTAAGTTGCGACGAGAAATTCTGGCGCCACCGTCTTCCAAAGGTGGAGGAGCAGGCGAAGGTTTTGATGTCACTAAAAGTGGAGATTCACGAGTTGGGCTTGTTGGTTTTCCATCTGTTGGCAAATCTACCCTTCTCAACAAGCTCACAGGAACCTTTTCTGAGGTTTGCCGTCAATCCTACTTGAGCTGTCTTGGCACAATTTTGGTTCCGTTATGTTACCGTATCACTGACTTGGACAGTCCCTGTTCCAGCGACATGGATGCTTCTGGTACAATCTATAGTCTGGGAGAACACGTCCTTTTGTGATAAATTAGCATGTATTTGTTAACTACCATACCAGCAGCTTATGATTACTGAAGAATAACGTTTCAGGTGAACTTGTCATTGTAACTGAGATTTGTGGATTGATACATAATTCTAACGAATCTTCGATGTTAGAAAGCACAGAGCCGTAAGATGAATTTTCAAAGTTGCTAGTGATATCTTGCTAATACAAATTTGCTGAATTCTACATGTGGCTTTTCTATTTGGTCCTATCGCAGGTTGCTTCCTACGAGTTTACAACATTGACATGCGTTCCAGGTGTTATCAAATACCGAGGATCCAAAATACAGGTTAGGCTTGGATTGAGATTGTTTAGGGGATGACTGACTACCACTTGAAGTTTGTATTACCTTTTTCAATTTATTGAGAGGGTCTGTGATGGTATAATTCTTTATCTTTTCTTGTGTATTCTACCGTATATTTTGTTGTCTAATTTTGGAGAAATGTACTGAGCAGTCCGATTAGTTTTCTGTTCACAGCTGCTAGATCTTCCTGGAATTATTGAAGGTGCGAAAGATGGGAAAGGTCGTGGTCGGCAGGTTGGTCTCTGAGCTTCCAGTGCCTGACCTTACGTTCGAATCTTTGCAAGCAACGATAATTTTCATATGACTAGCTTTTAAGCAATTTGCCGTGTCAAATTATCTCTTAAAATTTCGTAGGAACACAGAGGGGTTATCTCTTCTCAATTTTTACTCATCAAGTTGCTCGATGTCTGCAGGTCATCAGTACTGCCCGAACGTGCAACTGTATATTGATCGTCTTGGATGCCATTAAACCTATTACCCACAAACGGCTGATTGAGAAAGAGCTGGAAGGCTTTGGCATCAGGTTCATGTTCATTGTGCCTTGCTGCATGTGGTATCCATTTTTTTTGCCAAAGGGCTGGATATTGCTTGCGTTGAATTCGGTGCTCTTATTTTAAGTGTGAACGATTGTGTCGAACGATGCAACTTGAGGGAGCTTACATTTGAATTTTCTGCAGATTAAACAAGGAACCCCCAAATATGGGTTTCAGAAGGAAAGACAAAGGTGGAATCAATTTTACATCAACCGTCGCTAATACTCATCTGGATCTGGAAACGGTCAAGGCTATATGTGGGGAGTACAAGATTCACAATGCAGACATATCCCTGCGATTTGATGCCACCGCAGATGATTTGATTGACGTGATTGAAGGGAACCGTATCTACATGCCGTGCATTTATGTTGTCAACAAGATCGATCAAATTACTGTTGAAGAGCTTGAAGTGCTTGACAGATTACCCCACTACTGTCCAATCAGGTATTGAAAGATATTATATTCAAGAGTTTTGTTTTTGATGTGGATTTTAGAATGGTTGCTCTTCTATTATGCTTGACGAATGTATGTTGATGCATTGCTAGTGATGGAGGAAGTTGTATTGTTGTGAATCTATTCTGAATTGACATCATCGGAGGAGAAGGTGCTCAGCTTATTCTTATACTTCTGTTCTGTTTTGAAGTGCCCATCTTGAGTGGAACCTGGATGGACTCTTGGACAAGATTTGGGAATACTTGAATCTTATCCGAGTATACACCAAACCCAAGGGCAACAGCCCCGATTATGAAGACCCTGTCATCCTGTCAGCCAACAAGTGTACAGTTGAGGATTTTTGTGAACGCATCCACAAAGATATGGTGAAGCAGTTCAAGTTGTAAGTCCTGAAGTTGACATTTGGTTTATGTTATCTTGATTGTCCATTTTCTATAACTACCATATTTTTATATCCTTATTTTGATAGTGATTCACTGAATTCAACTCATGAGTATCATATGGATGACAGTGCTTTGGTGTGGGGTTCAAGCGCAAAACACAAGCCACAGAGAGTGGGAAAGGTGAGATTCTCAAGTCTTTGCGTTGTATAGTATGAATTGCTGTCCTTATGGAATGTCTAGTCCAAGACTTTTGCATGTTCTGTCCAGCCTATCGTATCCAGTTTGTGTTTGGATACTACATGTGACACGAATAGGAGGTCTTGACAGTTGGTATCAACCGTCACCCCACTATTTTGTTAGCGTCGAGGATTTGGATATATTTTGTGGTGCTATGATCTGTTAGTTGCATTGGTCAACTCAGCTCTTAAGTACTTTTAGGTCGTATTTTCACCTTCACAATCGAGTTGAACTGAAATGCTCGCTTATATGTGGACTGGAATCCTTCAGGAACATACTTTGGAGGACGAGGACGTTGTCCAGATTATTAAAAAAGTGTGACATCTTATGGCTGCTGAAGGATGGGTCATTCAATACTTGTTCGGTTCGTCATAGAGGTTTTAGAAGATTCTCAGATGTTTGACGGTGAGTGATCTGCCATCCAAGATCAAGTTTCTCTACTTCAAGCTAGTTGACCGATGCTCTAATAATTTAAGTACAAAGTGTGCACCAGTTGCTGCTTTTGGAGTTTGAGGAATGGATCTTTAGCAAGAGCGTTGTGTAAAGATGGCATCCAGGGTCAGTTCAGATCATCAATCCAGAAATCATCAAGTTCTGGTCTGATCCGATGGAGTATGGCATTACCTAAACTTAAGATAGATGGGCTGGTAGATGATTTCGGGTTTTAGATCAGAAAAGGTGTCAATCGACTCCTCAGAGTTCCAGATTTGATTACAATTAGTTGCTCGGTGTGGGTTTGTGGCTATTCAACGGGTATTAGTCAAGCAAGAGGGTTATGGTAAATTGGATGGCAAGGCCTCCGTAGCTTCGTCACCCTAGAATTTTGCAGCTTAAGTGAAACTCGCATGGAAGAGTTGGTTCAATAGAACAAGGATGGTGCTTTCAGGAGAAAGATGCTTGCATTGTTTCTGAGAAAACCTTATATTGATGTTGATCATCAGCTAAACGTTATGTCGCTATTGGGTTTGTACGTTGCGTTCTTCTTCAGTCAGAAGTAACAATCCGTATCAGCCTTCTAAGAAATATATGAAGCTCCTTATTGTATTTGTATGACAATGTTGTGAACAACTATTGGTGCTTTTTATTTTTTACTGTAGAAATGGGCACTGTTGATCCACAGCTCAAATAGTAGTTGTGAAGGCCGAAAATATCCATTGATTCTTTCCGTTGTTACATTCGCTGTGACTTAAGAAGAGGCTGAAAACGAAGGCTCTGAAGCTTTAATCTTATACTGTGCAATACAGTGAATGCAAATTCACTAAACACGAAGTTTGTGGAGGATTAGAAACATCTAAGAAATACACATCACACTTGTCTAAGTATTACTGATTAAATGCACTGAATATTTCTATGTTAAGAAAAACTTTATACCACAAAGATGAAGTATGTCCACGTACATCTATATAACTACGTAATGCATTGAAAGCAGTGAAAAGATACTGAGTTGTTTGTTTTGTGAAAAGATTTCTTTCCAGAAATATATTGCTCCATAAGGTTATAGAATAGTAAAATTTAAAGAAACATCACAAAACCTTAAAAAAATTGCTTTATCTGATTCTTCATTCTATACCATAGAAAATAACTCTATGTAAAAAGGTAATTTAAAAAGACAACCAACAACATTTATACAAAATTAGTTCTAGGTAAGTTTTGTAGTTAAGTTTTATTGATTGACTAATATATATATATATATATATATGTATATATTTTATTATAACAATAATCTTATTTTATGAAAAGATCAAAGTAAAAGGGATGAGAGAGATTAGAGGTATTTTGATGAAACAAATCTAATATTAAGCCCTACAAAAGAATTTTGCCCAATGAATTATCATCTAAAGGACTTGAGTCTAAGTTGAGAGTTTTGGCCCTTGCCCATTGACTCCCATTGTCCCAATCTTGAGACACCTCATGGACAACATGTAAATGACAAAATCCTTTGTGTGAATAAATCTTCTTCTATTCTTAAGAATTGATATTTGCAACAAAGGTTGGTACTTATGGTTAAAGCTCCTCACATTAGCCATAGAACCTTCAATTCAATTTTCATTAGCATTTCCTATTTATAACCTTTTTTGCACATAAACTTTCCAAATGCTACTACATTGTTTTGAGAAATTGCTTTTGGCAACTTTTTTTGGACTATACCTTCCCATGGATTACAAACTTGTGCAAATATGCTAGAAATTTGTGGGCTTGTCCAAATTGTTTGTTAAGCAAACACCAAATTTTAAAATTTATCTTTAATTTTTAGTCTAGGAGTTTATTCTTGGTGACCAAACAAAGGGAGGTTGAAATTGTTTTGTTTATTTATTCTCCTTATTTTCATAAGAACTAAAAAATTAGAGCCTTTAAATGCTTAGTCAAGCAACATGCAATTAGTATATGTTTATTGAATTTTCAATTTTTAGCATCTATAAAAAAATAAATCATGAATTAAAACTCCCCATACCTAAAACAATATAAATATGTATTAAGCAATTCACTTAAAAACTCTTATTCACAATCATCTTTTGGTTTGATGGTATTTGCAATTCATTAACAAATGCATATAATTTAATAAACCAAAATAAAAATCCACTTATTAGCATTTTAAAATCTGTGTTAAAATCAGAGCATATTCAAAATGTAATTTATATTTTAATCAAATTATATAATCATGTGAATACTGTAATACTTTTTAATAGATTGTTCCAGATTTTTTTCTTTTTTTCTTTTTTGTATTTACCACAGGAGGCTTTCATGCTTGTCTCATACTTGCAGTAGGTTCTCAAGTCTTCTCATTACTATCAATATCCTTCTGATGTGATAAATTTCCTCATTAAACTACATAATTTTCAAAAAATATTAAAAAAATTCATTATATCACCTCATACACTACGTGAAACACCAAATTAAGAACAGTAAAATTCTCAGATATGTGCTCACATATTAAACGTTTTGTTCACGTCACTGTAGTTCAATCTAGTATACTCACACCCCTAACAGCATACTCAAATTCATGAGCTCATATGAAAGATGGTTGCTGAGACCTCCAAGTTTAGTGAGCTCAACCCATCAACTAGAATTGGTGACTAGAGCACCAGGTCTCAAATGTGAAGAGAAGTGAGATCAGCCTGAATAGAATCAAACTATACGGACAACTTTACATTCAAGTTTTTTCACATGGTTTTACAGTATAATGCGAAATCCTCAAAACCTATCTGCTAGTGATGGGAACGTCCGGAGCAGTGCGGCAAGCCCTTTCAAAGCCACCTGTATTCAAAGACACAAATCCGAAGCTTAGTATGTACAAATTCTCCAGCCCGATCATCCATATCATATGTAAAATAAAGATAGGACCTAACCACAGTCACACTAATCCATAAGGTTTAATGGATGGATGTGAGAGTTGAGAAAGTTAAGCAGTAGCTCCCTTCCCGTCTTAGCAGATCTAGGAATATACGCATTCAGGCAGTATAGGAAGTTTTCTAAAGGCAAATCACCAGTGTAAAATCACCGGGTTTACTTGCAGGCTCCACAGCATCTCTGCCATACCTGTGATCGTTACCCCACATTAGAAACTTGTGCCATAATCAAATGCAAAAACAAGAGACAACGGCTGAAAAAAATCAATGAAGGAGGTGTGTACACGAATTGTCGTTTGCCATTGAGTACTTCGCAGCGGTAGAAGCTACAACCCTTGCTGAATGGAAGTGGCTTTCCTCTCCACTCTGTTTGGTAACCAACAACAACCGTTCAGGGTGACTACAAAGTTGAAGAAAATTTATAACAACAAGATGTAACAGTATCCATGTTTTCTCGGGTCTGTAGTCTCCACTCTGGTAAGTAGAGATATTTCTCGTCACCTATCATTCAGGTACTGTAAATGTATCCGCGACTACAAGAATACTCATCAACGTTAGCACAAAATGGTACAATGTGTTCTAGTGCTTACCCAGATGCCAAATGACACCAGCGGCATTGGGATCACCAGTGGTTATATCATCTATTCGGAATTCTAGCTCAGAGCCCACAGAATCCATGAATTTTTTAAAAAAGTCAAGAATCGCCTGCGAGAAGGATCAACAATAACAGCGTCAATGTAGCTGCAAAATTGTCAACAATTACAGCTAAACAGAAGGCTACTAATTACTCGCCATTGTCGTCGTGCCCAGGTGCTGGTGAACTGGAATCGGAGTGTGGAGACTTCATCGACTCCATAGAAGATAGACCCAGCAACGATTGCGAGAACTGCAACTCTTCAGTAAATCCCACTCACGTAAAATGTATCACGATGATATACGGTACTTGAGAATTCGAGGATTCACGTCGAATTTAAAGCACATACATGGATAGCATCGTGCATCCTAATTGAAGGTTCTCAAGGTGTTATATACTATTCAGGTGGGTTCCAAATTTCCTATATGAAAATCTCTGCAACTAGCACGACAGGGAAAAACAGAGAAACAAAACTTTGACGAAATTGAATTTAGCTACTGAGCCCTACTTTCCTAGCTGCAGCTATGAAATTGCAAATTAACTACGACACAGTCGCCGACATTTGTGAAAAAATACACTACATACACCGCCATTCGATGAATATTACCTGCCTTCCAGTAAATGGGGTCGGAAACACGAGGTCCTCGTAGACACAATTATCTGCAAACAGATCGCCAATTGAAGTGATCTCACGTCTGTTGATAGCGGCATAGAACTCCTGCACCATCACAGCTGCTTCCATCTGCTTCTCAGCAGCCTCGGCAGCAGGTGACGTCGACGTCGAAGAAGCTGCAACTGCGAACCCATCAGCCCTCCGCGAATCCGCTATTACCCCATCCCAAGACGACGTGGACGACGGCCTCATTCGCCGCAATCCTGAAAGCTCCCTGCTGGGCCACTCAGACCCAATTCTCGACCCAAGCGGACGAGCTTGAGACGGACCCGACGTAGCCGAAACAGATGGGTACTCGTTACAAGGCTTCAGAACTGCTTGAGGGACAGCAGTAGAAGCGACGAAAGCAGTGGCCGCCATGGATGCAGAAGAAATGACAATCTCGCAACCCAAAAAAAACAAAATCTACTCTACACAAACGTAGTTACAAATCCGGACATGAACACAAACCCCGACACTGGTACAATCTTCCCCACGAATGAAGGACAACGACGAAGACAAGTAGCAGCAGCTGTTCTCCGATGTGAGGATGAATTAACACAACGGTGGAAGGCAGACCACGGAGGTCGCGGATTTCAGCCACATCTTGCGCATGTGGCGAATGAAAAGCCCTCTCGCGCGATTCCGTCCATTCCCAACATCTCCATCGCGCACGGAACCACGCAAATCCCTTCACTCTCCCATCACACCATCATCCCTTCAGCTTCCGATTCCTTGGCCCTCTCGCCGCCTCTTCTGCTGCTGCTGCTGCTCTTGCGGCGACGTAGAGCTTGCGACCCAGATTGTGCACAGCGTTCGATCGGTGTTCTGCTCCATTGCAACGACGTTGAGTGCCATGCATCACGCCGACGGCTGCACCGGAGTCAGTAACCTTTGTTGCCAAGTGGGTTTTGTGTGCTGATCTTGTGCGGATCTTCTCCGTTGTTTGCATGCTTTTTCTCGGTTATATTTTAATACTAACTAGCTCAATGTTTTATTAATACAAAGTTGTGGGTAATTTTTGCACTTTATTTCGGTAAGATTGAGAGCTGGCTTGCAAATCATGCAATTTTTTTCTTCTTCTGGTCTTCAGTTTCCACCATGCTCAAGCTACACTAGCAAATAACGCTAGTGTTTGATACTTGTTTTTGGATCAATGAGAGTGAAGATTGAATGTTAAATTGGCGTGTTGAAGGATTGGTTTTGAAGTTTGCAAGGTTTGTGTGTGCTTCATGAGTGCAAGCAAAATCATGTGTATGAAAGGTGTAGTGTTTATTTTATTTTATTTTATTTTCTTTTTACAACATGGTGATGCATGATTATTGTGATGAAAATTAGAATAAAGCCAAGTGTATCATTACACATTTATTTGTTGCCAACTTAGAAAGTGGTGGAGTTAATGCAATCTAGACAATGTGTATGATAAAGAAAATTGTACTCTTTTCAAAAGTAAAATTGTAAAATGTTGAATTTGCATGAAATAATGTGTGTTGTATGTAGTGTTTTTTTAAAATGTGCATTTGTGATGATTATACAATTTTTTTTCTTAAATAATAGAATAAATAAATAAACTATATATATATATATAATTAAAATATTTTATTGTGATTATTTATTTTATTTATTTTAATGCTTTATTAGAATATAAGAAATCTTTATTTGAATATTTTACTTTTTCTTGCATACAATATTTAATCATATCACAATATAATATAAGATGTTATTTCTGAAGTTCTTTGATATGACTAAATATTATTGACATTAAATTATTCTGAATCTTTCAGTAATATTATGATCTTTTAGCATGTACTCTTTATATTTTATTTTTATTCTTAATAAATATATGTTCTAATTTCATTTTTTAAATTTTTTATCTTTTTTCTTTTAATAAATCAGTTTTTTTATTTTTATTTTATTTTATTTTATATATATATATATATATATATATGATTTTCCGAAAAATAAATTATTTAATCTTATTCAAAAAATCCTTATTACATTTTTAGATAGATTGTTACATATTTTTATTGAAATTTTGGTTTTTTCAATTATATCAATATATAACACATTACAAGATCTTAGATATAGTAGAAGATAAAATAGAATTAATCTATGACTATGAAAACATTATCTATTTGAATCCTTTGGCAATAAATTGGTTTATAACAAAATATTATTCAATAAGCTTTATTTATTTATTTATTTATTTATTTATTTATTTAGTATTGTGTCATGTGAAAATTAGTGTACAAATGCATTGGATATTTGGTTGTGAAAGGGTTTGATCTTATCTTAAACTTGGATTTACAATCAAAAACATTACATAAGGTGTTTAGAAACAACTTAAGTAAGCTTCTAATTATGCCAAGTATTCTTATCAATCTTAGAGAAATCTTAGAAATTTTTTATAACATTCTAATCAATTCTAGATAAATCTTAAACAATCCTTAACAATCCTAATTAAATTCTAAAGAAATCCTATAGAAATCCTAAAAAAATCATAAAGAAACCTTAAAGAAACTCTCACCAAATACTAGCTAGTCTTAAAGAAATTTTAAGTAAATCCTAATTATATCTTAATTAAATATTAAGTAAATTGTAAAAAATCTTAATCAAATCTTACTCAAATCCTAATCAAGATCTTAGTAAATTCTAAAAATTCCTAATAAAACTTTAACCAAGCCTTAAAAAAATCCTAAAAAATCCTAATGAAACTTTAAGTAAATTCTATAGTAAGTTTAAAATCTAAATGATTATTGAATTAAGCATTGATCTTAATTAAAATTTTTTACTCTTCTCATTTAACTAGTTGATAACAAGCATATAAAATTTGAAGAGAAACAAACTAACAAATTAAAAAAAAAAAAAAAAAAAAAAAAATGCTCTTAATTTGCTTGGGTATGGAGTGTCTCAATCTTAATATCAACCTCCTAGTGTTCATATATATATATATATATATATATATATATATTTGAAATGTTAACTAGATCTCAAAATTTGCATAAATATTGAAAACTAAGTTAACTATTAATATTGAAAAAAATTATTTCAATCCAATTGGAAAATTATTCAAAATTATAAAAATCCTTACTAATCTTTAAAATCCTACTTATTAGACTTAAACCGACTTGAACTTCAATTACTTTAGATTTAACCATCCAATTAAATTTAATATTATAACACATGTTTAACACAACTACATTCACAAACCTACAAATTTTAATTCATAGATTTGTTATAATACTCATATAGTTTACTAAAATGTAACATCTTTTTTAATATAGAAAACAAAGTCATTCAAAATAACCTTTACTTTGTAAAACTCTCACAAAGTCAATGTCTTCTTAAACCCCTCAAAGCTAATGCTCAAAGAAATATTATCAAGTCTGCTCTTCTATTCCACTCTTTAATCAACAAAAAATATCTTTCTTTTGTTGTATGTCGGCAATTTTGTGCTTCAAGGTCAAATTTTGATCCTGCTTCACAACTAATCTTCTTTGGGTATTAATCAAAGGTTTTTTTAGGTAATTTTTGTTAGAAGCTATTCTTCACTTTTACCTAAGATGCCTCTCTCTCTCTCTCTCTCTCTCTCTCTCCCTCTATATATATATATAAACCTATTATATTTTGTATAGTTTATTATCCTACCAAGTAAATAAAAGCCTTTTTTTTAGAAGAAGGTAGTATTAGCTTTGAAATTTTTTTACTACCTTCATAACTTTCAACTATGTTTCTATAATAATTTGCTACTATATCTTCAATTAAGCTCTTCTATAATATAATCATTGTTTTTTTTTTATTCCATAGTTATTTATAATACAATAAAGGATTCATTAATTTCAACAAAATGAGTAGCAAACATTGTTAGAATACTATCATGGAAAATTCAAATAAGTATATGCATATGTTGTTAGTCTTAAATAATAACAACTATGAATTCATTTCCAATTCTATTCTTGACTTAGCAATGTTTGAAATATAAATGTATTAGACTACTTTGAAGAGACAATTTCGGCAACTTAATAGTAAAATCACATCAAGAAAGTTTGTTAATAAAGTTGTTGGTTGGCAAAGTGCAAATATTACCAACAACATTGTCTATATTATCAAATGCACCACTATCGCAATCTTTGAATGTACTACTGCCATTATTATTGATTTTTTTTTGTCAATTACTCCATCACCAAATATAATGCTATTAGATGGTCAATTATATGCAACATGCATCTCTAAATCCATTAATAGTAAGATAATTCTACATAAGATGAAGGACAATAAGGACAATTCTTCCTATACTACTTTAATATACAAAGTAAAAAGATATCTATCTTAGAAGAAAAAAACATTAAATTGGATGCATTGCTTAATTAAAGAAGACAAAATTAATGAGATCTACTAAGCTTCGGATTTATAGAAGATTTAATATGGTGGCCAAAAGTTCTAGTAAGGTGAAGTAATTGTTATCACTTTGCTTACATAAGAACTTTCTCAAATTATCACCTAAGCCATAATTTATGTTAGAACTTTAAAGATGACCAAATTAAACAATATTTTGAAAAAAGATCAATCATTGCACACAAAGTTTACTTGTAGAATATCCAACCATGCATTCACAAAGACCAATACTCCCTTGTTTTTTTAAGATATATGAAACTTAGATGCTAGAAGATGAATTCTTGCATACCCATCACCATCTTTGCCAATATTTTACTAAACTATATTTGATCGTATTAAAGCTACACATAAGATACATTTTAAAAGCAATCAATTTTTTTATCAATTTAAGAAACAAGGTCTTAGGATTATTAACTCAAAGGAAGATACAAAGGCTCTTTTAAGCAAGTAGATTATAGAATCTTTACATTCTAAAAAGTCCAAATTTTATTAATTTTTCAAGTATAGAATTATGTTAGCTAAACCAATAGCTTGATAAAAATAATAGTCAAATTTTCTATATGCTTTGATACTTAATTATAAATAGAGCATAGATTTGAAATAAAAATAAATTAAAAAAAATGTAGACCACAATATTAATTATTTTACATCTAATATTACAAAATTATTTCTATGAAGCTTAGAATAGTTTTGTTTTATATTATTATAAAATAAATATTTTTTTTTTATAAATATGAACATAAAATTAGAGAAAGTAATTCAACTATATTAATATTGTATATATTAACTATCAACATCTAAAATACATATAATTATTATAAAAAAATAAAAAAATATAATCATTTCAAAATACAAATAATGATTGTATTTGAATATAAAATTCTTTGATATATTGATATTTGTAAAAGTAAGAGATTCATCTTGCTAAGATCAACCAAAATTATCCCATATTTCCAAGCAATCAATAATACTTCATCATGAATAGGTTTTAAAATAAATAAATTATTATTCTAATAAGTTATTTTTCTTGACAATAAAACTCATGATATTATTATTAATATGAATTATGAATACATAAAAGTAGAAGGTTTTATTAGATTTTTTTACGTTGATTTAAAATATAATTTCAAACAAGATAGAGATTAGAAAATAAAATTATTCTTTGAACAAGTACATAATTATAGTTTAATTATAAAATAAAGTATTGGTCCTTAGAAGCAAATTTAATGACTTATATAGCAAAGTTGTATAGAGAACTAATTTATAAGAAACATCAACCTTGGAATTTAAGTATTATCAAATAAAGATCAATTTTTGACTCAAACTTTTTTTTCATTGAAAAAGTGTTACATTCAAACCTAGAGCTTACAAAGAAGTAATGCTCAGGTGATTCATTTTGTCTTGAAGAGTCACAAGTAAACATGTGGAGAGATTAAACCTTTTCTAATATTGATATCCATTGTACTTTATGAGTGCATGCACACAAGAAAGAAGAATCTAGAATTAGGCCACATCTCTCTTACACAAACTTGCTTCAATCCCAATATGTTAGAAATTCTAAAAGACTTATATAGCATTTTTTTTTTCCTTTGACCTTTTATTCAACTTGAAACAATTTTGTATCTTGCAGTTTTTGCTAAAAGATAAATGTGTATTAACTTTAAGAATAAAAATAATAAAATTTAGTTTTAAAGAAAAAGTGAAGACTTTTTTACCACAAAGTTGATTTAGTTCAACTTGTTTGAACAGAAGCAAATTTTAGAAAGGATTAAATAAAAAATTGTCCAATAATTGCAAAACACTCTTTTAAAAACTGCGTAGCAAAAAATCTACTGATAATTACAGTTGACATGGCAATTAGATGAAACTCAACTTCTACAATGTGACCTAACAATCCATAATAATAGATTGCAAAAATTCTCTTACAAGCTCTTAGGGTTGCACTTCACCAAGGACGTTAGGACATAAGCAACATTATTTCTACATCACAATATTTAATCAAAGCATATGATACCCTGTATTGTGTTAATTTTTTTATAAAAAGTATTAAACTAAATCCACTTGGCATTTTCCACTTGGCATGATCACACGTATCTCACACTTATCCAAGATCCACAGAGTCGATCCAACATTCTCATTAAAACAGTCTGTAACACTATCATTATGACCGCCACTGTACTACTGTTTCAAACAGAAATAGAGGTTTAAACGTACTTTTCAAAATGAAACGTTCCACTCGGGTAAGGGAAGTGGGCATGAAGCTTTTATGAATCCGGCTAATAAAATTCCACTGATGCAGCGAAGAGTGCACGTTGTGCCCTGCCAGACCTCGGGTAGCTTTTTGTAACGAATTGAAGAGAGGTCTCACACAATCCCATTCAAGAATAGGAAAGAAGAGAATCGCAAGAACGAGGAAGGATGAATGACTGTCTCCAGTTTCAATTTCTACGAAGGTAATACTGCACAAGATTACAAGCCCCAATTCTTTTCAAGGACCTCCGAAGATCAGAAACCAACTTCATCTTTCCATTAGTATTGTTCCACCAGACGATGTGCCCCCCATCACTGCTACTAGATGGCGGGGCAGCAGATTCAAGCCCATATGCTGCTTACTAAGGTATGGTAGCTTTAGTGGGCAGGCTGAGGTAGACTTAAGGATCTGATTGCAAATTTCAACCTTTCTGCACAAGCACGGAGTCTCTTCAGAGAACCCGAGCGTCGCTACTCAGATCAAGGGATTCATTCCTTGCGGGGAGAAATGTACAGAGCACAAGCCAGAGTGGTCACTCAAGGTGTTTCTACAAGCAGCTTAGGATCGTCTGTGGGCCGAGAAAGCCTGGGACCTTGCATGATTGAGTTCATCAGCCGTCTGTTTGAGACCATGTGCCGCTCAGATGGGGCTTTGAAGCTAACATCCAACGGGCCGTTGTAGAAGAATGAGCTCATTGAGCCTCTGTCAGGAGTCTCCCCATAGCTCGTGGTGGTATCTTCGGACAGAAAGTCAGAAGACTCACGCAGTGGAGAGTCTTCGTATACTGTTGGAGAGGAGGTGTGCTTCCTGGCATCTCGAAGCTCTGGCTTCATCTTCAGGATGTTCGCCTCTACTCTTGACCCACTAGATGCAGATTGCCCTGGAAGGAAAATATCCCAGAAAGCGTGAGATGATTTGATAGCAATCGGATTCAAACGAGAACATGGAGTCCACATGATCATATCCAAAGGTAGGATGTGGTGTTACCTCCAGGACTTTCCTTAACATCCTGCTTGAAGCTGGATGCACTGAATACAACCCAGGGTTTCGCGGACTCCTCTTTAAAATTCTCCTGCCCCCATACAGGAACCATGACGACGGGAGTGGCGTAGGCGGGATTGTTCATGGAAAACTTGCTCCATGATGCATTATTCCAGGACTGGCTGAGACCAACTGCGTCGCTCGTATCATCCCCACTCTCTCCACACGAGGCCTCATACCCATCACTGTTAGCAGAAATACGCAGAACGTCGACGCTGTTCACTGACAGTTCCGTGAGAGCCTTGTCAGGTTTGGAGGTGTGCGGAATCCCTTGTGTCACTCGACTGTTGTCAGATCCTGGGAGCGCATGATTGGAAGGCATTGCGTCGCCAGGATACCTAGGGAAGAGGACTCGTGGGGGGTAGGAAGCAGGTGGAGGGAAAGAAGCCCGAGGAGCACCAGAGTACGCTTCATTGGGGCTTGAGCGATATGGGCTAGTGGGCTCTTGCGAAAGTGGCTGTAGTCCTTCACTGCGTGGAGCAAACAAGTCCTCTTCACCGCTGAGAGGTATGATCCTATCCCATTTGTTCTTAGTTATAGACCACATTTCCCTTCGAAGGCCAGGCACATTTCGCTTCTTCCTACTACGCCGGCTCCCAGCGACTCTGATCTCTCCACTTGAGCTTAGACTGCTCTGCAAACTGCTGTCCGAATCAATACTTGCTGACGGGTCTACGCCGGGTCTAACAGGGCGAAGAATTGAAGACTTCTCCCGTGCCCGAGCTGCTGCTCTTGCAGCATCATCTCTGTCCACACGTGCCAGCTTCCATGGGTTCAGACCAACTGGTGCAGGTCTCTGTTGCGATTTGGCGTCTATGATCTTACCACCACCAACCTTTCCCACCTCTAAGTCACTCAATGCCATCACGGTCTGCAGCAGAATGATGGACGCTGAGTACCGAATCCATACTTGGTAACTTCACCATTTCGAAAAATCACGAATACAGAAAACCAGCTGATAATTTGTATTCAGAATGTCCCAAACACATTATCTTGCAGATGTGAAAACTTCAATGATCGGATTCAGTTGGATGGTGCTGTACCTGATCTTGATCAACAAACATGCGTGGAGGTGTGCAGAAAACAATGCGTTTAGGTGCTGAACTGTTATAGCCGCTAAACCCTGTCTCGGTGGATGTTTGAGGGGTTGTCGTTACACTTGACAATCCACCGACCTCATCCCAATACTCTTGGTTCTGCTCTCTGACTGCTAAAATGTAATCATAAGTCGTTATTCCCTGCAGAACGATTCTCTTCATCAATGAACGATCCAATGAGGCGGCCATATTCTACCGATAATGTTTTAAACTCTGAACCCAGACCACGTCATCACAGAAGATACAGCTACTGTCGATCGGAAGCAGAGTCTTACTTTTCGAACGTATTTTAGAAGTATAAATATACCTTATGCATGAGGATGAGGTGGAAGAAAAAAAGTTGGGTCAAAGGAGCAGTCGCCAGTAATGCTAGGAAGGTCAAGAGAACCTGCAGGAGTTTCCAATTCAAATGTGAACATTCCTCAAAAGCATGTCTTTTTCGTCACCGATGTCGTTATAGAATCACGTTGTGTACAAGTCGTAGCTACATGCCGCAAGAATGTCCTTGACACGACAATCACTATTACATACAGATACTGATACTGAACGGACGTTCTTGGTATCGATTCGTAGTTACGTCCAAGAACACAGAAGCACGTCAAGGCGTTACATACCAGCACTACCATGAAAGCCACACGAGGAAAGCTCCTGCCAAGATTGTCTCTGATTTCCTCCTGAAATGCAGACTCGTATTTCACGCAGCGGACAAGCACCACGATGCCTACTGCCCACTCCAGAATAAGCTGCCATAACAGAAGGCAAGGCCACTCAGTTAAACTCTGATACTCTTAAATTCTAACACAATTCCTCCAAGGATAAGCAGTGAGAGGGTATCAATCATACCATGAGCAGGCAAGACACCATCAGTGCCACAAATAGCTTATAATTCCTCGTGCCAACGCAGTTATTAAGCCACTGCATTCAGTACCCACAAACTATAATTGTTAATTACTTCAGCAGCTTACATCCCCTCCGCTTCAACTATCAATTATTACAGCGATACGTCAGATACATGTTGAGAGAGGGGAGGCCGAACCCACCCGACAGTGGTGATCAAATCCGTGCACACACTTGTCACATGCCCTACAGTGCTTGCTCTGCACTGATATCTGCACGCAATTCGGAAAATGTTAGAGGTACGGCGCTTGTATGTTGCGAAGCGCACGTTTGTTCTTGGCACATGCACCATCCACTTCGGGCCATGAGAATAAAAGTTGATGAGAATAAGAAGCTTAATCCTTAACTCTGAGGTGGAAGTTTAGGTCTTGTCGGACAGTAATCAATCATATCTCGCCATTGACCACAGGCTGGCGCAAATTCAGTCCATAGTTACTCGCCACGACTAGCAGATGAGTAAAAATCAAAGGAGGGCAAACCTCTGCATCGCAAATGCTACAGTAGAGGGACTGGCTGTCGAGACTTGATTCTTCGTCCTCTCGTTTCCTCTTGCAGCATGATTTCTCGATCAGCTTTTCCGACATAGGCTTGCACCCAGATTCTTCAATCGTACCATAGCCAGATTCTCGGTTGGCTAGGAGATCCATTATGGTTTGCTTTGGTTCTTCCATTGGCTGCCCATACCTGCCTGATGCTGCTACCTCCTTCTTCGAATTGTCTTTCTGCTTCTCTAGACGGACACCTGGGTCGGCAGGATCAATCCATGTGCACGCAATGTAAAGCGAGAACACTGCAACCACCTGCAACTCAAGCTGGATTATCAGCGACACAAAACAAATGAACACAATGTGAACTAAAGGCTCGCTGCAGAGCTATGCAGCGGAGCAATGAGGAATCTTCGACGCCTTTCTAACAAAGCACTGTTCTAGACAGCAATTGGGAAGGAAGCATTCACTTACCAGAGGCGTGAAAACACCGATTACAATGAATTTCAAGGTTCTAGTACCCAGGAACGGAGCAAAGAATACATAGAACGAGAAGGCCAGCGCAGAGAAGACCACAATTGCCACCGTCTGCAGAATACAGAGAAACACGCAAGCTAACATCCGTCAAGATTGAGTACTTAACACAGCGGTACTCAAAATTGAACTTCAGGCTGTGGTGCCGGTTGTGAACGATAGACAACGAGACAGTGTTAGTTGGGCCAATCCTTAAAATCTCGAGAGCAGCAGGATAGACTGCTGGATGTTCACACCACTAGCCACCCTGTTGTTGATTCTGTGCCCTGGGAATGGAACAAGGCTTCAAGCGGATGCACAATTCTGAACCGAATCTAATCAAGACAGAGTACTTGCCTGCAAAGGGTGAAACGGAGGCTGCCAACCATGATTTCGCATTGTGCGGCGCTGGCTCCGAGAGCCAGCCCCTCTATCTCACCTAGTGGATCAAAGTCTGGTCAAAAACTAATACTAGCATTTGTCAACAAGTGATCAATCAGTCGAGATCCCGATGTCTCCAGGGTCAGCTTGGGCTTCACTGTTGCGCATTCACCGCGACATTATGGATACCCAACCGCACTGATCCCCCACTCTCCTTCTACCAGCCTCTTCTACACCACAACCCCTATCCTGTGCACCGCACTTCCACTCAGCGACATAATTTCAAACTCCGACCCATGTTGGCAGCTCAAGTCGAATCTCAAATCCACGGTTACAAATCCAATCTGGCCGCGACAAGCTGTCCTTTCATGGCTCCTGGTCCAAAATTCAAATCTGCCCACTCCACAATCCGACTCCTCACCGCACCGATTCCACCTTCACGACCACCAGCAACAAACCCAACACTAAACCCCCAGGGATACGACCTCATACCCACCTCCCCATCTCACAAACCCCGAATCGCTGCACGCTCGTCGAATCGTCCCAAGACAGAAATTCCAACGGCTAAAGGTGAGAGAAAAAGGAGAAAGAAACGAGTTGTGGCAAACATCTAGAGCACAAGAGACTCAAACATCCAGGCAACACAAGCCTCCTCGACTCCCAATCCCTCCTCCCCCAGAACTAACTCAGGAAAGCTACGCATCTAGAAAAGATACTGTCTGCCACACCTCTGCCACAGCAGTCAGTCAGTTATACAAACACTGCCAAAGACCGTTCCAAAGCGCTGGAAAACGTCCTCTCTCTCTCTCTCCCACATCCAACAGCATGAATGCGTGCCTCCGCAATCAATCAACACTCTCGGGTCGGGTCGGGTGGGAGTGGGGAGTGGGTACCTGGCGACGGAGGCGAGGCGTGGCGATGGTGGGTGGGGGCGTCGCCACAGATCTAAAACTCCGCAACGGTCATCAGCTTCTTCCTCGCCCTCGCACCCTTCGGTCGCCGTCCAGACGACCAAGTTCCCACACATCTCCCCCCCCCCCGAAGTCCTTCTTCATAGCCACGTCGTCCCCTGCCCGAACGTGCCATGTGGGTATAAGTGGCCTTTACTGAGAGGGGAGGGGCATCTTTCTCCAACTAACTAATTTACTTGCCTTCCTTCCCTTCCTGTAACCCCCCCCCTCTTCAGTCACGGTGTGGAGTATTTACTCACTCCCCCCTCTTTATTGAAGAAGCCCATTTATTTTATCATCCTCCCATGTTTGTGGCGCCAGCTCTGCCGTTGCCTGCTTAATTCTTCCCCTCTCCCTTGGTTCAGACCTCCAGAGCCTGCTCGTGCAGACTTCCCTTAGGGTATCTTTTTACTACCCTTTCATCTCCTTCTCTGTTCATCCGTTTGATAAAAATGTTTTGAAGTGTTGTCATATTGGGTTGAGGTGTGTTGTTGTATCCGTTTTTGTGGAAACTTAAGAGGTTTTTAAGTTGGGGTTAAGTGGTGGTTGGGTTTGGTGATTAGAGACAATTTGTGGGTAGGGTTTGGTTGCAGGTTTTTATTTTTGAGTGAGTATTTAAGTTCAGATTAGCATCTGTGCATGGGAAGTTAAACATTGTTTGAGTATGCAATAATCTTTGACCTAATAGTGATATACTATTTGATAACTTAGGCACACTTAGAGAGTGTATGTTTCTATTTTGAATTGTTTTAACCATGTTCTGCATCACTATTAAAATATTATCATACAATAAATAAATACACACAGATTGTGTTTTTAAAACAGTTCTTTGACTGTGAGAAGAAAAAAAGAATGATTTTGCATATCACGTTGGACATGCTATATGATAATGTGTGTACAGCACAGCAACCATAGATCAACCAAATAGAGTGAGGGTTTGTTGTCATTACACTATACCAGTATGCACACCTAACTATGGTGCAACAGTGCTTGTATTCTATCCCATGTAATACATTCGGTGGTAAAGTAAACAAGAAAATGCACAAATTAAGGAACATTGTTGGATTTCTTATATACATATATATATATAAATATATAAATAGCTACGCATACTTCTTCAATTTGAAGTTATCAAATTAACAACGCATTGACATTGTCTCAAGGCCTAAAGTGTCCCATAAAGGAACCCACTACCAACCCCATTGGCTCCAAAGTTAGCAGCCCTACGAAGCTTCCACCCAACGCGACCCCAGCTCCGTTTTCCGGGCCGCCACCTAATTTACCACACCCTACACCAAGTGACATCAGCAAATACCGACGGAAGTAATTTTCATTTTTACCCTCTTCGGTAGAATACGCAAAGTCGGTCACCCCCAGGCTGGGTCAGCAAACCCATTATGGTCCCAAAAATCACGGGCAGATACGATCTCGTTTGTACAAAACTTGACCGTATAGTTTGGTCGTAGTTCAGACTTTTGGTACCCGGGTAAACGCAACGGTCCTGAAAGAGCAAGTTCCACATGGCGGAACGAACGCACGAATGAAAAAACTAGTAGGCGGGTGTGGATGACATACATCAATAGTGGGGTGGGGTCCGTTTGGGGGGGAGGGGTTATGGGGTTGCATGAACACCACGTTGGTAGGAATGAGAGGGGCCATGAAATGAGAAGCGGGGATATATAAGAAATGGGGGACAGGGCTTAGAATAGCTTAAATGAATGAGATATATGTAGAGAGAGTTTGACTGTTTGGGAAAAGAAATAAAATGGGAATTAGGGTGGGCCCCTCCCCCTATCATTTATTATTTTGTTTATAGTTTTATTATATTTTTATTTTGTGTTTAACTTGGATGGAGTGGGAGAGAAGTGAGTGATGTGGGGCAATTGAGTGACTAGTTAGTTAGTTAGTTTGAATTTGCTTGACTAGTCCAATTCGGCTTTCTGTGGCGGGAGAAACTAGATTATCCACGTGTCTTCCCGTGGGTGGTTTATCGCTCCGGGAAGTTGGGGATGTGGTTATAGGGACATTGTATGGGGTGGGGCACGGGAAGCTGGAGAGTGCCCACGTGGAATTTTTGCTTTGGGGCGAGGTGGTGGTGATGTGGCTGTTGCTTTTCCTATTTATTTATATATTTATTTTATTGCATTTTAATAAATTAGTGTGGGTTTTAGATGATTTTTTTGCCTTTTATTGTAACTAACTAACTAGTCACTAACTAACTAACTAACTAACTAACTTACTTACTTACTTACTAACTAAAACTAGACAATATAGAAATATATATATAGTTTAAAGTTTATTAATGAAGTACGAAATATTTTTAAATATTTTCAAAAGCCACAATAGTATTGACGTAAATTTATATATCCAACTTGCAGTTGTAATTAACAAGATTGATAGATTTTACTTTCATAAAATTAATAAATATTGAAATAAAGTACTGAAATAATTGAAAAGCTTTTAGATGTTTGAGTTAAAATAATTTACATGGTATTAGTTAAATGCATGTATGTTTAAGCATTTGAGACGCCTTGGCCTAAAAATCAAAATAAATTGGATACAAATTACAGTTAGAATAATTATAACTATAATGAAATCACATGTTCACGAATTTAAAACCATGATTTTGCAATGAGTTGAGATATTATATATCCTTCAATTTAAATGGGATATAAATGCTTTTAAACTCAATAAATCCAAAAAACCCTGTAAAGAAGAGAAATTATATTTTTGTACAGTTATGTTATGTTTAAACTATTCAACGTTTTTAATTATATATATTAAAAAAACTCACAAAATAAAGGATTTTCCAACAAAAGATTTTAAATACATATAAATACACATGATGTGATTTAATTAAATAAAAAACTAATAAATAAATAACCGTTTTTTGAAATATTCACATTAATAAAGTTTCATGAGTCTTGGTTAAATACAATATTGTTTGAAGCTTGAAATAATATATGTGTGTATGTGTATATATATATATATATATATACATACACATGTTTATGTTAATTTTATTGGGATGTACTTGTAAATAAATGTTCTATATTGATGACACATGCACAATCAGTACATTTGCTATCTAAGCATGTTTATGACTAAATAAAAACTTAAAACTTGTTTGTTGGTTGCACATTAAAAATATTATTTGATGTTTAGTGAGTATTTCTGACAATATAATATACTATCTATTAATTATTTGTTTGGTAATATCTAATTTAAATATTAATTTTTTTGAATATAAATAAATAAAGTGTTTAGATCTACTATTTAAATAATTAAATAAATCTTAGTTTAGAATCTTACATTAATTTCATTCTTTACGCATTGCATATAAATGTTTCTATTATAATAATATTCATATCATAAAGTAACAATTTTTTTGTGTTAAACACTTAATTATTCAAAAAGTCATATAAATCTTTACAATGTAAATATGTTAAATAACTTATAAAATTTAATGTTGATAAATTATAAAAAAAATAAAATCTATATAAGTTTTTTGTCAACAATATTTTCCAACTAATTCTTTGCTTTAATAATTATTATTATCATTATTATCTTAAATTTAATATTACATAAAAAAAATCTAAGTTTATTTTATTTAAAATTTGAATAACAAGAATGCATAAAGTCCAAATGAAATATAATTAAAAAAACACATATTTTTTAAAAAAACATGTTTCATTTAATTAAAACTGATAATACAATTTTGCACTATTTTTAATAAAATATAAATATAAATATTTTAATAACTATATAGAATTTAATTTATTTGTGAAAGTATAAATTAATTATATTTAGGATTGTACTTGTAATAAGATAATATTCACAATTCATTTGAATTACACTAATGAACAAAGTAATTTAATAAATAATTAAATTATAGTATTTTATATATTATATATTATTTTCAAACTTTAAAATAATATATAACTATGTAAAATAATAATTAAAAATCTATATTTGAAAATTTCATATATGCAGTACATTTAATCTTAAAATAAAAACAAAATATATGATTCATGAGTTGTGTAGTCCTTAAAAGTACATCACTAGTATATACATATTTTTACACTTTATATATAGTGTTTATATGTTCACATGTTTATTTATATATATATATATATATATATATATATAGGCACAAATATACACTTACATACATATATTTGTTTTAACTATCCACAAAGGTTTAAAAATGAACAAATTTTATTTAATTAAGGATATTTATTAATGAGATGCTCTATGTAATAATCCAATAACCTAATACAACAATTGATGGTAGAATCATGTTTACTTTTAGTGTCTTAAAACACATTTACCTCATGAAACTGAACACTTAAAGTGGGATTTTTGTTTTAAAAATGGTGAAAAAACCAAAAAATAACTAAAAACATAAATACTTTTTAAAAAATGACTTTAAAAAAATGACTCCAATATATACATATACATATATATATATATATATATATATAAACAACAACAACAGTGCGCTTTTGTTTCAGAAGTTAAGAAACAGAACACTTGGAGCAAAATTCCAAGGACATCCATTTGTTTACCGATTATAAACGGGCTAATTAATTTCCACACTCCAACCAATAGCTTTAAGTTTTGCAAAAACAGATTCATCAGAGTCTAAGCTGCCCATGCAGAACGGTACAATACACAGCAATACAGAACTCCTCATGATCTGTAACTAGACAGTTGAAAATCACTTCATGAAGTTCCATGCAAAATGGCACACTAGTGGACAGCTCATTACATGTAGAAGCCACAGATTATGAATACATGGTGCTTCAGCAAAATCACCTAAAGCAATTGTCAAAACATTAATGTTGAAACACATATCTTCAGCTTAGCCCCAATTTGCTGCTGTACATGGAGATCCACGACACGCATCAAAGTAACTTACATCACCCATTTAAGGAACAATTACTAAGAGCGCTAATCAAGTAAGGTACACCTTCCTCTATCCTGTAGTGTACAATGAGAGAAATCTCTCTCCCCCTCTAGAATCGGTGAAGAAAACCCCAAACCTGGTCATCTTCTTTAGCAGTATGTTGTATCGGATTTGCTAACCACAGGTATAGGTCTAGTAGAGCACTTCCTCCAAAGACCTTCTCAGTACATGCAACCGACTTAAACTGCAGTTCTCTTTTGTGGCACTTTGGATTGAATTTTTTTTCTTGCAGCAATGTCCTGGCCGTGATTGAGGATCAGTTTGGTATTACTAACAGGTGCTCTGAACTCATGTGTCAGGCTAAGCCCGATGCCTGTTCCTAGTTCAGGAAAAGGTTCACATTTGAAAGTTGCACAAAAGAGAGGGTTCGACTGGTTTACGCCCGGAATCGTCAGATGTAACAATCAAATGTTGACGAGGATTCTTTCACCGTCTTTCTGTTAATGAACCATTGAATCCCATTGATTCGATTGCCTTCTTGCATTCTCTGTTTTTTTCCGCCACAAATTTCAGGACATCTTCCGCCAACTGTCACAGAAAGCACATGCATCAATTACCTTGTAGTACCAGATTGAACGGGTGATGTGATTAATAACATTATCACAATATGCTAAGTTTTTCATCCAGATAAATCATCGCATGTTTCATGATAATAGGATTTAGTGACCTACAAAAGTACAACCATTACGCAAGGATGCAGGGTCATGATAGACTTACCTCAGTGCAACGATCTATATTGCGTAATTCAAACAAAGCTTTTAGGCAATTTCCCTCTTTCATATCCTTGCACACACTTGTTGGTCCATACATGGCCAAGAGCTTCATCAATGCAGCAGCTTGCCACATGATATTACTTGTTGCACCTCTAAGTACCATTTCCTTCAACAATTTAAGTATGCCGAGACGGTACATTTGTTTGCAGGCCTCTTTACAACATTTCTTATCTCTGGCGACCGCCACCTGCTTACACAGAAAGTCTTTCAGCTTTCAATAGAGCGCTGGGTAAAACCATATTACTGATACTGTAGTTTTGAAGCCTTCAAGAGTCAAAGTTCATATATCCGAAATAATCAGCAACAATACTGAACACAACATAATGGACAGCTGTGTGGACAAATACATGAAAACTGCGATGCGGTAAAGATTATAGCATCCACCAAAAGGAAGCAAGCGATGAGGATAACTAACCAGTAGGGCAGTCGAAGACGAGTTGATTTGAGCATATCTTCCAAGGACACTATGCTCCAAAACAGAAACTATAATTTGAACTCCTCGAGCTAGTCCTCCTTCAGGAATCATGAAAGCTTGTCTTCCTTCAGGAACCTCCAAAAACTTTTCGAGAGCTTTTGTACTGAGCACAATCACAGTGGACAGGCTTTGCAGGTGGTGCTTGACAACATCAAGCAGAATGGTTACAGCATTATTTCGTAATAGCTGCTCACAATGCATTGTCCCTGGATGCAAGTAGAATACATTAGCGAATAATTTCTAACGCTTCAGAACCAATGTTGGCATCCAAATATTCTAATTTTCATCTGCTAATTTGCATCATTGCGACAGAAGTCTAATACTAATTAATCCAACACAAGTCTTGAATAATATCTAGGATCATATTTCGACCATGTAAAGTAGCATTGTTGACCTCTAGCTTTAAGGTAAACAACATTAGATTATTGTCCTCGTAAGGACCACCGATGTTAGGATGTAAACAGGCTTCCGAAAAGCGGACCTGCTTGCTTGTATTGTACATTTCTGAAAAATCAAGAAGGTTCCTTTTCCTGGGTTCGAGGTACTTCGCAGTTGTATCAATTGATGCGACAGTACACGCGTACAACACGGCACGTATTCCTCTATTAAAACATCAGGTCTTTGTTACTCCTGAGAGTTGGTGCTTTGCTGGAGTTATACGTAAATTTCAATTGAAAAGGATGGGGAGATTAGCCTACCAGTCAGACTCAAATTTCTGATTAGGATAAGTGCACACTCCAGACTCTCTGTTCTCCCCCCAAATTGGTCCAAGTTCTCTTTCTTAATGAAACTAAAAAGGTTTTCGCCAATTTCGTCGGTGATGAGACAATTATTTATCATCGTGGCATGTTGGTTGGCCGTCCCATTTTCACTAGGATTCGCACTCATCTCCACCAGAATTTTCAGAACCAGATTCTGCAAGAGAAGTGCATCAGTGACAACGATTGACAATAGAACAACAAATATCGAACACTGATTGCTCTCATAGACATTTGCGTGTTCAGTATGAGGAACAAACCATCGTGCTTTTTTCATTACTTCCAGAGCACTACAAATTAAAATTTTAAGTGTTCGTGAACCTAATACTAAAATCTAATCTAATTTTAAAATATTAGACGTAGGTTAGATTTGAATTTGTTTGTCTTCAACAAACCTCAGGTCAACGACAAGATTGATACTTCACATAAACCAGATGATGGATAAAACGGATAATACAGGACCTACAAAATATAACCTGAGTGATCTCTACATCGCAGTTTTGTAAAAACTGCGCATCCTTGCACATGGGTTGGATAAATTACACTCGCTAAAACAAATCAACACATACAGTAGAATAGCTGATAACAAAACATCTCTCAAGAGTGGACTGTTAAAATATTTCCTCACCTGAACGTCAGAATCGGTAATGGAGAGTTGCAAATGGAGGAATCGGCCTTCATGAATAATTAGCTTCCCCATGGGCTTAACGGCGAAGGCTGCAAGAGCCCGATAAAATGGTTTGGCGTGGGATATTCTATTGGGAGGCGTCTTCTTTACATACCTGACCAAAATATTGCATGCATGATTCATTCTCTCTTGACTCTCATGCTCAAGGAGAGGATATAATCTTGAAATAACTATTGCAGCTGCATCCATCCCATCAGAGCCAGAACAATTTTCTAAAAGGGTCAGCAATGCTGAAACGCTGGACCCTTCTGCACAGATCTGGTCGAGTCCCTCGGGCGTCGAGCTAATAATTTCTAAGCCAAGAGCGATGGCAGTGCAAGGACACCTCCCTGCATCGCTGACAATTTTACATGCTGTCGACACAAAGCCAGCCTCCAAGACTTTCGGTCGAGTCTTGACATTCTTTACGAGCTCCAGTAAGCCTTCTGCAGCGGACTGCTTCGAAATATTTTCCTCAAGGGATGCCAAGAGAAACCTATGACCATCGGCTTCTATTACAGCCTGCAAGTAAAAAGAAAAGAAATAGAAGTAAATGATCACTCTTTTCTATCCAAAAATACAAGAGTTGCAGTTATCATCCATATAAAAACTTGGAGAATGATATAATTCTAGAAATTAGGTCTAAGATCTAATTTGACGGCTAATAGCACTGACAATGCAAACGCTGGCTTCCATAAACGTCTAGCTGTCTGCATGAAGATCTCCACATCAAAATCATTTGACAGCTGATATAATGGTCAGGAGGGCAAGATGTACCTCACTGGTTTCCTCATTTTTGCAAAACAAAACCAAAATGGCAGTTAGAACCTCCTTGAAATCACTTGTACCAAACCCTTTTACGTACTTCACAAGAATATTCAGACCACCCAGGCCATCTACACGAGCATTGGCAATTCGGTGGCGTGCATCTGCATGATCTTGTGCCATCTTGAGGAGTGCCGAAGCACCTTTTTCACTGCTCGGGCACTGAGGGTTCATTTCAAGCAAATTCAGTGCAGCATCAAGCGCTCCTTCAGTCTCCAAAATCTCGTTGGTGCTATCTGCTTTACTTTTTAACATCAAGTCAAGGAGCCCCAGAGCGGCATTTGACACATCGCTGTGCCATTGTTGATCAAGAAAACCGACAATTGTTTGAAGCGGCAACTGATCAATTGGGACCGCAATATTTGACGGTAAAGCTTGCAAGGCAACCAAGGCATCTTGTTTGCAAGTCAGATCTTTATCTTCCAACAAAACCTACAAGAAAAGAACCAGATAGCTCACTTCATCTTCACAAAAAGAATATAGAAGCCAAAAATGCATATTTAATCAATTAACACAACTCATCCAACGAACAAATCATCAGTTCAGGAGTACAAGACAAACACAGTCATCTCCGGGCTTTTCGCGAAGATGCCTCAAGATCCTATCGAGATCCTCCTAAAGCACTACTTTGATGAGAATATTCTGCGCCATAGCTTCTTGAGTGTAGTCAGGGTATATATATTAATATTTGATGCGATCAATTCAGCACATTCCGCAGGCTTCGGATGAAAGAAAGCTGATAACTTTCCAGATGCGATAAAGACGCAAAATCAGACATATGACGTGACATTTAGAGGCTAGAAATCATTTTTTCCACTATGAGAGAATGTGGCGATTGACTGACCAGAAGAGCATCAACGCCTCCGGCATCTTGTATCTCAGTTAAGCGATCTTTCTTCTCTATCCAATGCCGTAACTTACTGGCGACTAGCTGTCGAAAAGTTAGATTTTCGGAGTTCTTCCATCTCAGCACCATTGCAACGTCTCCAACAGGGTCTTCCATGTCAAATTGCTCAAAAATACTCAAAACATCAAGTCTGCACTCATATGAAATCAAAGATGTTTCTTCACTGTACAACACTTCGCGAAGAGTATTCCTGTCCTCGAGCTTCTCGGCGAGCACATGTTGTACCGTTTTCCGTCCATGGGCCACGCAGAAAGAAAGCAGTTCGACAGAATGAAGCAATAATGTCGTCAATTCCTCAATGTTCTCCCGAGGATGAGGTCGTAAAGATTCCAAATGGTTCTTCCTTTCCGAACTAGTACCTCTGATCATAAACAAAAGGTACGAAATTAAATACTTGCCATTGTGCTCTCCGAACGTGTCTGTGTACATTTCACAAAGTTTCCTCATTATCCTTATAATTGCCATCTTCCCAGACACACTTTCATGGATATGCAATGCTTCAGTCTTCATAAGATCTGTCATGCCTTTCCAAACTAGCAAGCAGACCTCATTTGTTGATGTGGCATTGTCCAATGCCAAGATCTGCTTCTCCAACTCAACAAGTAAATCCTTCACCAGGTATTCCGGTTCCGGTGGATAGATGAGACCTACGGGTGAGAAAGTCAACAGTAAGCTGGGCTCAATTTAGATACGAATTGCGCATCTCATGTCAAAAAATGGCGGGAAATGCTTTCTAGTAGCAGTTTCGAGCAACAAAGATAATGAATGAGCAAAAGCTTTCAAGTACTACACATACAAAAAGTTTACCAAAAGAAAACCACAAGTTTCGAAACCAGACCCCGGAATTTAGGTTTGAAAACTCTTACTTTTCTGCAATAATTTTATCAGAGCTGCTACAATCAGCTGGGTTTTATCTCCTCTTCTTGTACTGCTTGCCAAACGTGGCAATCCCCAAGTACACACGCGATGTACTCGGCTTCGATCCTTAATGTTCGTACTGGCAGCATTCACATTCGAGAATGAAATGAACGCTGGAATTATACCGTCGTAGATCAGAACCTCCTTCCGTACCTGGTACATTGCAACAGAAAGTGATATTTGACGAGTTTAGATGACTAAAATAACTACCCACAGTCAAACCTTATTGCTTACAAACTTGATAAAGATATTATAGTTCAGTATAAGGTCAGCTGGAGCAGTAAGCACAGGTTCATGAGCAAAGGTTTTGTCGATCGCATAAGTAATTTGACACTGACTGAGTCACAGTGCCATTTGATAAACTAAATGAGCTTGCAATACCTCTTTGTTCACCAAAATGTTCACGAGAGTTTCAGCAGCTACAAGAGGAGTCGAGTTAAGCATCTTTCCCTTCATTAATGGGATGAGCACGTCCAATCCTTCAGCTACTTCATCAACGATTTCAGGGTCAGCTCCCTCCACCTCATTAAGGTCGGAAGTGAGAGCCTTCATTAACTTCACCTGCACATGAATACATCGTGTTACACATGGACATCTATCAACGACAAACCCATCCAAAAGTTGAGGACAGGCTGAATACTACAAACAGGCATTGAGAATAGTGCTTACCGCACGCTTAGTATATTGTGGGTCCTGCGTCCTTGCTAACTTTATAGCAGTTGGTATAACTTTCATAGCTTCCGATTCATCTGGTGAAGATGATTTAGGTAGATATTGCGCATTGAACACTGCACGTGGACCCCCTGGTAATAATGCGCACTTGGTAAGATGGGAAAACCCCGCAAGCACTCTTCTTCTAGCAGTTGAACAAAGCTGTTCTAATCCGAGCTCTATTCTCCTCTCCAGAGAATCATCAATGAAGGGACCATCTACACTGATATCACTTGAGTTTCCCTCTTCTGTAGTAGGTTCATCCACAGCCGACTCTACTGCTCCTCCACAACTGCAGAAAAGGATTTCTTCAACATTTAATAATGAAAGTCCGACAAGAAGATTAGTAACAACTTGTGACGGTAACTTCAAACATGCAACATCATAATTATTTTTGTAATTCAAGGTAACAGAATGTTGCAAAGTCTCACTCCATCTATTTATTTCAAGCTCAGAAACCATCTTCATAAATATTTCAACTCGAATTCGTGCATACATCCAAAGAAGGTGCAAAGAGAAGGAGAATACCAGGTTATCAAATCTTGGAGAGTAACACTGACGACGAAGCGTCTGCTAACCGGTCTGCCAGTAACAGGACAAATGGTTTTCTCACATTTCAAGTACTCTTCAATGCATCCCTTGCAAAAGGATACCCCGCTGTCAATTACGACTGGCCTTAACATAAGGCGTTTGCAAAGACCACATTCCAATTTTGATTTGATATCAAAAAGGCAATCTGATGTGGACGTTATTGTTTCAGCTTCTGTCATGAACAGAATTAACTGCTCTAACAGCTCAGAATCAATTTTCTGCATCTGGCGTGGGGAGGCGTGCGCATGTTTCTTTATTTCCTGAAAATGCCACATTTTTGGATCAGTCTGGATACCAGAAACAAGTAATATGCATCCGAAGAAATAATAAAACTCTCTTGGACTGTAGACGAAAACCAATAAACAGCAAAGAGCTCCTAATTGCTATTGTAAGTACGATGTGAATAGCACTCTATTATGATTTAGTAGGACGTACGCACTTGCAATTCCTGCCTGATAGTATCGACGTCTGTGTCAAGCTGTTTGGCAAGCCAAGTGCAAGCGAAAGTCGCGTGTTCTGAGGAACGAGAGTAGCTGTTCGAACGAAGAAAATCCAACAACTGTTTCCAAGTCACACTCCTTAGTAAATACACATATCGAACTTAATCTATAGATCAGAAGCAGTCAGAACCATTGCAATTCTGTGCCACAATCTAACATCTGACGTGGCCGAGCATCTCAGACGTTCAAACGTTTAAACGTTCATATGTACAATCCTCGATTCATTCCAAACGTAACAAGAGGAGTTAAATTCATGGACGCATGCATAAAATCCACAGTAACAGGCAATTGTCCGGGCCAAAAGCAGTAAAAGAAATGAAATTAATCAATAGTTAACTAGGGACTTTAAACACAATACGATTGGAGATTTAGTTGAGCCAAACTAAGCCATTAACAGTACAAATACAAGGCTACGGCATTTTTTAACAGCAGAGACAGCCAACAAAAAAATGATTTACATTTTACGTAAAATTAGTATGATTATTAAAAATGAGAATGAAAATAAAACCTTCTTCTTGAAGGCGGCTGAAACTTTGTTGAGTTCACTGCAGTCACTTTCCTCTCCCAGTTCCTGTGCTACTTGGCCAAGTTGCTTTACTATTGAATTAGCTTCTCCCTTGCAGTTTTGATGAACCTAAGCACACATTACAATATTTCAGCTTAATACAGTGTTCTTTGCAAGTTGTGACTCGAAAAAGATCGTGATCTCATGCGTGCCACAAGGAAAAAGTTTGTTGGTTGTAATGATCAAGATTTGAACTGTCGCACGAGCCCCGCAAACTAATCACATCAATTCTTCTCAAAAGGATGATTCAACTCGAAGTGCAATCATAATATCCACGAACATCTTGGGATCACTTAAGAAACATCAAATTTGAGCAATTACCTATACCAAGAAAACTAACAAGAAACAATTCAATTACCAGTTTTAAGATGTACCTCCAACTCGCTAAATCTGTCCTGTACATTCATGACCGCATCGTACAATTCCGCTGCACATGTGTCCTCAGTAAGTAAAAGCCGAAGCCTATGCCTCTTCCATTCCATTGCCGATCTGCCACCACAAACAAAACTCGGGAGTGAAAAACAAACACTAGTAAGAAAGAACATACAAACATAGTCAGCTTGGCAAAAGACAATATGATCTCAAAGTCAGCGCGGGAAGGTTACTCTGGATCTTCCCAGCCACAACCAGCGAAATATGCTAAGCAAAATCGAATGTCTCCGTGTTCTGAGAGAGCGCTGGGTTCTTCGTACAAGGCGTTTAAGAAGCTGTTTCTTAGACATCTTAGGAAAATTACCTCGAAACATCTTCGAAGGCCTTCCCAAGTTTTCTCAAAGTTTTTTCCTCCACTCTTGTCCATGTTTCCCTAGGGAGTTCCTTCAGCAATGTTTCAAGCCTTCTAATCGTTTCCAGAAGAAGCGCATTTAAGTTCCTAATGTGAGGTAGATTTTCCAAAGCATCGATTGTGGTAGAAATCCATTCTAACTTCAAGTCATTTTCTGCAGAGACAGGCATTTTAACTGGTTGCTTCCTGCATTAGTACCACGGGACAACACTTTCGTTCAGAAGTATTCTGCTCCCAGAAGCTACCAAGCACTTCACAGCCCCACACTACTATGTAAAAAACGAAAAATGAATTTTGGGAGGGGAGTCTTCGCAACAATCAAAGCCGGTTTAGGTTTCCACCCATCAAAGGAAAACCCTCAGTCATATGAGAGCGACGCCTTCTCATCAACGGCAACTTCCAACTCCAGGGACCCATCGAATTGATAACCCTCTACAATTCGATAACCAAACAAACCCCTCCCCACCCCCCTAAAAACCCACGAAAAAAGAATTAACGGAAGACCACCCACAGGAAATCATCTAACGTAGCATCCTGCAATTCTCCCGCCATGCATACTCAACACTTCCCTCAGGTTCTTACATCGCTGCAGCGATCCACGAACGCCACTGAGCCCCAGTCAAATCCCTCCCCTGCAATCCACGTGCAAGCAAGAGAAAAGCCGCGAAAGCCCATTCACATCGTCAACCTCAACCCACGTTTAGGGCGTCAAATTTCGGGGAGGAGTCTCGAACTCATCAAGCTCGCAGTGGCAGAGACACAGAGGAAGTAAAAGAAGCGATTGCCGCGTTCAACCACACACACCACTGCGCGTAGCTCACTACCGACAGTCCTGGCATTCTCCGATGCCTTGTTCCTCGGAAGCCTTCGTGCGGTAACTCATACTCGCCGTTATTCGTCCGACGAACGATTCCTAACCTTTTCTCGTTGTTGCCCAGTCAGACAATGTCAACGGATCCTACGACGAACGAGCATAGGAACACCGACGATCGCTGAGTTCCGACAGTGGACGAATAGAGGATTTTTTGACGAACGAAGTTGGTGGATGGGGCGGCCAGCACATTGTCGGCCTCACGGCATTGACAGGAACCTACCACCGTGTACCCCTATTACCGTGGGATCTAGTCACCGTTCCACCGACAGACACATATTTGTACTTATCGTGGTACTTTTTACTTTTTACTTTTTGATTCCTCTCTGCTTTCTAATTTCAACGAATACATGGGTTTGTCGTGTTACGCTTGTCTTCTTCTGTTGTAAAATTCTAATCTTCGTCTTTGTGTTAACTTTCATTAAAGGTACCCAGTGTTGGTTTTTGCTTCTAGATATGAAAACAAATATGTGTGAAAAAATTATATATATATATATATATATATATATATGAGGAAGTAAAATGCCAAATGATGTCAAATTATTATAGAATGAAACAATCCAAATTTATTAAGAAAAACATAATAATATATGACTCTTTACTGAAGTGAAGACACTTTATTTATTTTTTGTTTAATCTTCTTTTAATATATATATTGTATTAACATTGAAGTTTTATCATATTTAAAATTATGGTTACTTTTGTGCTTTACTCTTTGTTATAAGACCAATAAACTTAATAAGACTTATAATTACTTGTACCTAATCCAAGTATTTTAACCAAAAGTAAACTATGTGATACAATCAAAGTTCTGAATTTTCAAGTAATATGTGGCAATGTCATGTCTATTGGAATGGGATTCATTCTAAATTGGATACAATTTGGTCATATTATTGTTATTGTTATCATTAGACTTAAAATACCAAGCATGATTATTTGTAATTTTTTTGTATATTAAAAACTTGATACTAGTTTAAAATAACTACTGAATAATATATCTTAGAAGTCTTGTGGATACAAAATATTTTATATTTTTTGCAATGATTCTTATTGTATTGTCTAAATACTTAAAATAATAGTATTAAAATATGATTTTTAATAAGAATTTGTTAAAGCAAATTGATTTATCTTTAAATTTAAATAAAAATCACATAAATTTTAATAATTTTTTTTTATTGAAGCTTATAATTAGAATAACTATTGATAAATCTCAAGGCCAATTAATGAAAAAATATAAATAAAATCTTTCAAAGTAAGTATTTATAAAAAATAATGATAACTAATTATTATGATAAATAGTTTTAATATAACGATTTTAATTGTTAAAAAAATTATAGCATATATTATAAAATAAGATATTTTGATTGGAAAGTAAGTTTGTTCTATTACACTACAAATTATTTTGATTTTGGATAAACTAAATCTATCTTTTGGAATGATGGATAAAAAAACCTTTATTACGCATTACATATTTAATGACAATCAATAAGTTACAAATAAAAATCTTAAAGGTTTTTTGGCTTAGATCCACTAAAAAATACTTTTTTATATATAAAATTAGTATATTAAATTCTTATACATAATATTTTTAAAAATATTTTAATAAAGTTAAAAAGAGATGTAATAAAAATTTATAAATTAACATGTACCATTATATATAATAAAAAGTATCAATAATAATAGTAACTTATTTATAAGTATTCTTATTTATTTATCTATTTAAATTTATATAAGATGGTAAAAAGTCCAAGCATTAGTGAAAAAATGGATATTTATACAATGTATGAAAGAGGTGCACGTCTTTAAATCTTAGAGATCTATATATAATTCTTTTTATTCAAATAAAGTTTTTTTTAAAAAGAAAAATTATAATATAACATATTTGGCTTTTTATTGATTTATTTTAATTTATTTGATAATATTTTTATTTTAAAGCTATAATTTATAATAGAACTAAAATTCAAAAAAATCTCAAATACATATTTAAAAAAATTATTTAGCATAAATGATTATACACACCAAATAATATCATCAATCTTCAAACTATCATCTTATATTATTAAAGCCATAAACATAAGCTTAACATGTATCTAAGTATATATATATATATATATATATATATATATATAAATAAATGCCTTGGAGTATGGCCACCAATATTATTAATGGTCGATTAAGCTCTCTTAGCCTCAGAACAAGTCTTAGTCATTGGCCTTGGCGGATTGGAGCATTTTTCCAGTAGCCTACAATAAAAATGACTCTCTCTTGTCATAGTTGGAGCTTGGAGTGATATTGGAGGAGCTAATATAGAATGAAACAAGTAGTATTAGGCTTGGCTTCTATCAACCACAAAGCAAAGTGATTAATAGGATTTTTTTTTTTTTTTTTTTTTTTTTTATTTATCATATAAAGGAAGCTTTTTAAAAAGAAGAGGACTAAAAATTGGATCTCCAAGAGCCAATGAGAAATAGACACATGGTGCTGAGCCTCACTTATACCATTATTGGAATAAAAAAATTTGCTTCAAGAAAACACAAAGTTTTTAGCTACAACTAGATATGATCATATACTACATTTTATATATATATATATATATATATATATTAGCTCTTGATAGTAAATGGTAGTTGATGCCCATTTCTTCACTAAAATAAATGCCATAGCTCCATACTTCATTAAATTTTAGTATGTGATGGCTCTTTGAAATGGTATTATATATATATATATATATATATATACATATACCAAAAGTAAGATTTATGTATATATATATATATATATATATATATATACATATACCAAAAGTAAGATTTATGTATATATATATATATATATATATATATACATCAAATCTTACTTCCTAAAATTTTCTATAACATAATTTATGAGCAAACAAAGCTATAAATCATATTAATATAAGATAATTGATTCTTTGTTGTTAAAAAAAAAACACCACAACTTTATATCAACTCCTCTCAAAGAAAGAGAGAGTTTTTAAAGAGCTTATAAAGAGAAGTCTAATTTTTCAAAATCTCAAATCCAAATTCAAAATATACTACGAAAAAACTTCCAAAAAAAAAACTAAAGAGTGGCTAGCTCATTTTTTATTTAAAAAGACATTTGTGGTTCCTACTAACATCTCTTAAAGCAAATGAGAGCTTTTTGGAAAGCTTATAAAGAGAAAAAAAACTCTTCAACATCTCAAATTTAAATTCAAAATATACTTTGAGAAAACCTATAAAGAAAAGCTTTAAAAAGTAGTTAATTCTTTTTTATGCAAAAAAACACTCCATGTTCATAGTAGCTCTTCTTGAAGCAAGTAAAAGCTTTCTAAGAAGCTTTCAAATAAAGAAACAACTTTTCAAAAATTTTAAATTCTAATCAAAATATACTATGAAAAAACCTCCAAAGAGTAACTAGCTATTTTGAAAAGGAGAGAGCTTGAGCAAAGGAGAAAAAAAGAATAGTCCAAAAGTCAATACTAACCTATGTCACTCTCCCTTAGTTCTATATTTCTTTACTTTAGCACCATACTATTCCATTTCAAGCTCATTTCAATCTATCTTAACTTATTTTACAACCATTTAATTATTTATTTACTTATTTTTTTTATTATAAATTAAAATTTTATAAATTTTTATATTATTTTTATATATTATACCACTTTTCAATATAATATTCATTCCCTCCAAATCTGCATATCTTTCAGCATGTGCCAATTGTGAGGCCAAATTTCACCACTTGATGAAACCTATGCCACATAATAAGACCAAGAGGTGGAATTAGAGAGCTCCCAATTGTGTAATTGTTAGATTAATTTAAATCTTTATATTAAAAATTCAATTAATTTTAGGCCTTCCAAGCAATGATTACCAACATTAAATTAACATGTTAAATGAAATTTACTATGCAAACATAGTAAAAATAATTAACTAAGTTATTTCTATTAATTGACAATAAGAATAAAAAGTTAAGTTTGAATTAAAAGTTAAGTTAAAAGTTAAGTTAAAAAATTTAAAGTTAAAAATTAAGATTAAAAGGTTAAGTTAAAAGTTAAAATTAAAAGGTTGAGTAAAAAAAGATTAAGTTAAAAGTCAAGATTAAAGATTAAGTTAAAAGTTAAGTTAAAAAAGTTAAAGTTAAAAATTAAGATTAAAAGGTTAAGTTAAAAGTTAAAATTAAAAGGTTGAGTAAAAAAAGATTAAGTTAAAAGTCAAGATTAAAGATTAAGTGAAAAGTAAAAAGTAAAAATTTTAGTTTAAAAATTAATTTAAAATTTAAAAATTAAAAGTTAAAGTAAAAACATTAAAGATTAAAAGTTAAACTTAAAATTTATTAGAAAAAAGTGAAATGTGGAGATTACAATTCACTATGAAGATGATAGTAAAAATAAAGTAAGACAAGTGAAAGCGAAGATACCTTGACAACATGTAAAGATTAAAGGCATCGACTCCCTTCTACTCTAATATTTGCCAAAATTTTTAATCAGCTTCAATTTGAATGATTCTTAGCTTGTTGCAAGGCTAACTTGAAGGTGCTTTTGATCCAACAATCCTCATTGCAATCTAATGATTTAGTCGTGAGAATTCCTCCTTTGAAGTTGAGTGATCCAAACTGCCATGGTGACCAACCCTCTTGACTTAGAAATTCACTAAAAATTCAGATTGTCTTTAAATTCAACAAAACTTAAGCCTTTCAGAGCTAAGCTTATAAAGCTTGATGCTCCCAAAATTTCAAATAAAGCCAATCATTAAGCACTGAGAAATGCATTTCCAAACACGATTGATTCAAACTGCAAAGGCAGTCGACTCCCTCAAACTCAAAAATTCACCAAAACTTCCTCCTTATTCCAAATCAAGCGAATCTTATCTTGTTGGGAAGCTAACAAAAAAAGCTACAAATATTCAGAATATCACATTGAAAAAAAAGAAACTGAGTGACTGATTGAAGAAAATCCAAGGCCCTTGAAACCCTTTGGATATTTGAAGACAG